GGAGGGAAAGCTTTGATAGGAGATTCGAGCAGATGAGCCAGAGCTTCTGGAATCGACTTGCCAGCCGAACAGCTCTACTAACCCCACCCGCACCGCTGCTCAGCCCAGCCGACATGCCAGCTCTCTGTCCCCATCCCACCCCCCCATGGCACAGCAACCCACACTGCGGCGGGCTGAGACCCTGGAAGCCTGGTCCTCAAGCAGCGCACTCTAATGAGAACAGAGCGGGCTCTGGCAAACGGGTCCGGTACAGAGGACCACAGAGGAGAGGCAAAACCCGAAAAGCTCACCTGCTCCACACAGCGGCACCCATGATCAAAAGCTCACAACAGCACGCCCCATCTCGGATCCCCTCTAAGAACGACCGGAATGTCGGCATCAGGGAGGCAAGGGCGGTCTTACACTGAGACGGAGGTCGGAAATGGCCCATCCACAGCTCACACCGCAGTGCACAGAAGCAGGTTCAGTCCGAAATGCCCGCAGTTGATCTCACTTATGCTATTTAGAGTTAGTTACTCCTACATGAGTCCCAATACTACTTAGCTTTAAGCCTCCTGCCTGTGCCCACAACCTTCACTGGGCCTTTGAACCTCAACTCACCCCCAAAACTGAGTGCTGCAGTATCAGGGTTGTTTCGTTAAACCTGCATGCAAGCCTCAATTAACCAGGCACCCTCTATAGCTCTAGTTTACAGTGCCTACACTCTCGCCTTCTCCCTATTGTTGCCTCCACTCTGAAGTAGTGTACCCAGTGGCACCAATACTCAACACTCCTCGACATCACAGCTTACAGTCACTCAGTAAAGCTCAACTCTGACCACAATTTGAGACTCAGCACACTGTCAGTTGGTAAAACTCATCTTAAGCTTGACTTGTGAAAGCCTGTTAATGATTCGCTCATATAATGAAGCATGCATACTTTTTGTTTTACTTTATTTTTATACCCCGCCAGTTACCTAGCCTAACCAAAATCCTAGGACTAATACTCCTGGTGGGCACCATATCTTAAATCGACTATAATGTTGTCACTAGACTCAACTTAATTGTAATAAGTTCATCTGAATAATCGTGACACATTCTGATCCACCATGCAATTTATATATAAAAAACAGTGCAATCTTAACCTCAAATGTAAACATAGCCGTTTCTCTGAAACAGCTATATTTACATGTGAAGGATTAAAACCTAAGGGACCTGGCACCCAGACCACTTCATTGAGCTGAAGTGGTCTGGGTGACTATAGTGTCCCTTTAACTTTTGTTCTGTGCAATAGACCTGTGAGTATCCCAATGATTTTATACTTTTCTGCATTGTTTACATATAATTCCAGTGGTAGGCTCTAAATTAAGTCTGTTAAATTAATCCTTTCACACATCTCTGTTGAACCACAAGAAGATTTAAAGAAGGAAAAAAAACAATCATTTAAAATCATGCATTGACTGGACATTGATTTCACCTTTGATCCCCTTACCCACATGTTAACTCTTTTATATGTGCATTAACTTTTATGTAGAGTAGCATTTAATGCACATTATCTCAAACCATGTGAAGTTTCTTTTGTGGCCCGTTCCTCTCCAAATAACTTATGTTCGTGCAATACAGACAAAAATATTAATAGTTAATCGAACATTTAATTTTTGTTAAGGTTAAAACTTTGACTTGGCCATATCGAAAGTAAAATATCTTCTCTTTTTTTTTTGTGTGTGTGTTTTTTTTAAATGCAGTGTTTTGTTTTTTCGCTAAACATAATGTTTCTCTGAAAATAATCCACTTTAATCTCATATTTCTACACAGAACAATAGTCGTTGGTGCAATCCAGGTGGTCTAGGGGAAAACATGAGATAGATGAAAATGTTCTTTATGGCAGTAGTGATTTTCCTCCAGTAATTATGCCAGGCATTATTCATAATTTTCCTTATGGTGGACACTAACATTAGCTAAACTAAGGGATGCCATCAAATCCTTGGCAGCAGTTTTCCTGGGGTTATTTAAGAACATTTGGAGAATTGTTTACTCTTTGTGAAAACACAGAAATTAGCCTTATGCTCAAATTCCCACTACTTTTGGGTGGTAGCAATGGCTATTGTATTCATCATCCCAAATATATAAAATAAAACAAAAGTTAGCTGAACTCCATCCAAACTCCATAGATATTTGGCATAGTATGCATGTAACTATTCTTTTTATTGGTCTTGTACACTTTATTCCTGAGTATCTTTAGCTAGGCAATCATTTTTCCCCCTATTTGCTTTGTCTGGCAAGAGATGAAGGGATTCAGTAGTATTCAGCAATGATTTTTAACACTTTCTTGTCTCATAATGAAAACAAAAAAAAGCCTTGTGGGATCCATAACATATTTTATTTATTTTTGATCGGAGCATGATTTACGGTGTTGAAATGCAGAAAATTTGTTGGTGACATGCAAAGGTTGGTTGTTTTATATGTAAGGGGCCTTCAGACTCACACCTACCATTGATCAGAACGCCTGACTCAATTACTGCTCTAATGGAGTTGCGTATCCTAGAGTTCAAATACATTTTTGGGATTAAGACAATGAATGTCAGATCTGCCAATAAAGACTGAAATAAGTATGATTTGTTTCTTTGTTTAGTTTGAAGAACCTGATTGTGATAAGTAACCATGGAGATATAGATCAGATCAATTTAAAGCAACACTCCAATGGAACAGTTTAGTTTATCGGTTTACCAACAATGAAAACATGCATGCATTTAGTTTTGCATTTTTTTTCATTGGAATCATATCTAAAAACAACTTGCAAAAGATACTGTAACCCTCTCCTGATTGGTCTTCCCAAAAGCCGTATTGCCCCGCTACAGTCTGTAATGAATGCTGCAGCTAGACTGATTTTCCTCTCTAGTCGGTCCTCTCACACCTCACCCCTCTGCCGGTCCTTACATTGGCTCCCTGTATTATATTGGAGTCAATTCAAAGTGCTAACCCATACATTTAAAGCACTGAACAGTTCTAGCCCCGCTTATATCTCTTCACTGATCCATAAATATGCCCCTCCACGTACCCTCCGCTCTGCCCGTGACCACCTCCTGACCGCTGCTCGCACCCGTACGGCCAACTCGCGCTTGCAGGACCTCTCGCGGGCGGCTCCTCTCCTATGGAATAGCTTGCCTACTGCCATCAGACTCTCCCCTAGTCTTCAATCATTTAAGAAGGGCCTTAAAACCCATCTCTTCAGGAAAGCTTATGGCCTCCCAGAGTAATCTCTACCTTACATACCTGTCTCCTGCTCTCTCCTATGGGACAGTGCTTTGCTCTCTCCTCCAGCTCTGCTTCACTCCTACTTGATATTTATTGTCCTAATGTTTCAAATACCCCACCTCCAATAGTCTGTAAGCTCGTTTGAGCAGGGTCCTCTTCAACCTATTGTTCCTGTAAGTTTTCTTGTAATTGTCCTATTTATTGTTACACCCCCCTCTCAAAATATTGTAAAGCGCTACGGAATCCGTTGGCGCTATATAAATGGCAATAATAATAATAATAATATCTTGTCTGTAGCCTATGCAACCCCTTCCCTTCTAACCCTGCCCAGACTTTCTGTGTCTGTCCAATTACCGACTTCCCAATGCAGCTCAATGGGAAGTATTTGCAAGGCAGATGCTCTGGGCAATTGCTGCCTCTTAAGTTTAGCTCCAGTTTGTTAAACTATCGGGTAATAACAGGGCCAGTTGTCTGATTGACAGCTAGGGGGTGTAACAAAGTTAATTTATAAATGTGCCAACTAATATTGAAATCTGAACTTTTCTTAAATAAGAAAATAAAAAGGACACCCCCTTCACACACAAATTGCATAAGCAAGCTAAAGTGCTATAGGGTTGTGTGCATGTCGCTATGCATGACTGGTGAAATTCACCCCAACTCTTTTACAGTTAAAGCGGCACTGTCAGCATCTGTGGACTTCAGTGGCAGGAGCCGAAGTCACCACTGTACTCTCCCATATGAACAAGAGTACAGCATTGATATCTATGGAAGATCCTGCAAGACCATATGGGATCCTCCATAGACAAACCCAATTCCCTGCAGAATTGACACTTCTAGACACTAGGAGATGCTACCACCATCAAGAAGTGTCAGGCGTAGGAAAATTACATAAGAAAAAGTAGTCCCTATTTTGTCTTATATATTTGATTAGAAAACGGAGTAAAAGAAAGTCCCTGTAGGAAAGCGGAAGTGAAGAGGAAGTGATTAGGGAAAAGGTAAATACGGCGTAACCGTGCTGCTTTAAACTATATTAAGAACATGGACACACTAATTAGATCAGACAAATAGCTGAGGTTGAGCAAAGGTTACTTGGGAAATTCATTACATGAAGAGAGCACTAGATACACTGACATTTTTCATAATTCACACTTTGTAGGTCACAGATTCCTCACAGGATAATAAACGGATACAGCTTCTATGTTACAACATCAGTGCACATTCTAATCTCTTCTAATTTCTTCTTAAATCATCGGTTTGAGTTTAGGTTAGGTGATGTCAGATGCGGCATGTTTTATTTAATTTTTTAACCATATTAAGCAAAGTCCCCCTCAGAGAATCCACTAACGACGTTCAGGTTCTCAATTCAGGAACACAAGGAGATGACACATCTTTCTTAGGGTGTATATCCAGGGGATTTATTTATTTTGTTATAATTTTTTATTATTATCAAAAAGAAAAGCTTTACTGTCATGTAAGACCTTTTATATGTTTTCATTAAATACATTTTTAACTGAACTTTAGTTCAAATTGTACTTTATTTAAAAAGGGCAAACAATACACCATCCCGTTGAAATCAGATATTCCTACAAAACATATAAGTATTTGTGTCTTTCTCTTTTTGCAGTGATACATAGCTGGTAGAATGTCCGTCTAATTGTTCCTTTTCTTCCTCTCTTTGTAGATTTTCACATTTTCACTATGAGCAGAAGAGTTGTACGCCAAAGTAAATTCCGACACATTTTCGGCCAGCCGGTAAAAGCTGACCAAATGTATGAAGACATACGGGTATCGAAGGTGACCTGGGACAGCTCTTTCTGTGCTGTCAACCCCAAGTTTTTGGCAATAATTGTTGAGTCCAGTGGAGGAGGTGCCTTTATGGTATTGCCATTAGCCAAAGTAAGTCAAAGTGAAACCCCTGCTATTTTACAAAATATTTACCTTAAAGGGGACACTAAGCACCATTACCACTACAGTCCATGGGTTTTCAAGAGACTTGACAAACACATACCAAGGGTCTCCCACAAGCCTGTGGTTCAACTCCTTACTGTATTGATAATGTAGAAATTACACTTCCAATTAGATGACATCAGTTGGCTGAGAGTGTCGACTCAACCAATCAGTGCCATCCAAACTGACATACACATTTTGTAACAGAGAGAGAGGACAGGGCTCAATTCTTAGTTTGTGTCAAACGGTTTACACAGAACCAGTGAATGTATTAGTAGTGCTTGTGGTGCAAAGTGTCCCTTTAATTCCCCAAAACCTTTAACTTTGGTGGATGGAGTTAGAATGGATCATATGTTTATTTTTATTTAGTGTGTCTGCTCACTATGTGTGTTAAAGGACCACTCTAGGCACCCAGACCACTTCAGCTTAATGAAGTGGTCTGGGTGCCAGGTCCTTCTAGGGTTAACCCATTTTTTCATAATTATAGCAGTTTCAGAGAAACTGCTATAATTATGAATGGGTTAAGCCTTCCCCCTAATCCTCTAGTGGCTGTCTCATTGACAGCCACTAGAGGCGCTTGCGTGCTTCTCACTGTGATTTTCACAGTGAGAGCACGCCAGCGTCCATAGGAAAGCATTGTAAATGCTTTCCTATGAGACCGGCTTAATGCGCGCGCAGCTCTTGCCGCGCGTGCGCATTCAGCCGGCGGGGCGTAACGGAGGCGGAGAGGAGGAGGAGAGCTCTCCGCCCTGCGCTGGAAAAAGGTAAGTTTTTACCCCTTTACCCCTTCCAGAGCCGGGCGGGAGGGGGTCCCTGAGGGTGGGGGCACCCTCAGGGCACTATAGTGCCAGGAAAACGAGTATGTTTTCCTGGCACTATAGTGGTCCTTTAAATGAAACTAATATCAGATATAATATCAGATATGTAAAACTGAAAGTTAAAACTACGCCTTTTAACAAATATTTTCTTACTTGTGTTTATGTAGAATTTTGCAGAAGTTATGTAGTTCTCTGCTTTCTGGAACTAGTAAAAGAACAGTAGTATATAATGTATAACAAGTCATCCTGTTTGATAGGGTAGGCTTTATAATACCTGTTGGCAGGTTTTTGTTTTTTTTGTTCCAATTTAGATTTAATTTCAGACTGCAAGTTTGTGAAAGTGTTAGAAAATAAGGTGAGCGATAGAACAAATATGCAAGATTAGTCTTATCTTTTAAGAAAACAATGTTAGTAGTTACCAAAATCAAACCATATACACAAAATAAATAGATAATTATTTAAAGAGGAACTGACACTTCTCTGGAATGTCATCATTGGAGAAAACATTGAAAACGTGTTTTAACCATTTTTCATGAGATTCGAGATAAAGAGTTGCTGATTTCTACATTTCATTTTTGACACATTTCAAGGACATATTTTCTAAAATATTTAACTTAATATTAAAAATCGCAGGAGTTGACGTTGCCTTTTAGACAATTTCCACACCAGAACATACTCTCCTTACATTTTTGCAGCAGCCAAAAATGTATGTTTGACATATTTTTATTACTTTCCATGCTTCAACAAAAAAATATTATCAGTAAGCTGAGTTTACGGAGATTTCTTTCATAAAAAAAAAAAGCTGGATTTTCACCACTGCAAAATTCAGTAATACAATTCTATACTTAAGTTTGAATTTGGAAAGAACCCAATATATGTAGACAGAAAATAATAAAATAGTACCTTCCTTTTCATATAATGGTCATCCATCTGATCTGGTTTCCCAGGTAACCTCCTGGAGACAGAGAAGAAGGAATCATTTTTTTTCCTTTTTAAATAACTCTAAATAGAGTTACATTTCTCGCTGGAGAAGACCTCTGCCTGTGATCAGTATGCTAAATATATTTCTAAGTGTCTGGTTGTTTGTCCTTCAAGCTGTATACTGTCAATGTTCGTTCAGTCACGTCGGCCTATGCATTTTTCAACTACATATTCATTGTGACTATTAGCAGAACTTTGTTAAACCTCAACTAAAGCAAATACATTTATTTTTTTATGCACAGAATAGGTTACAAACTCCTATAGTGGAAGAGATTCCATTGAAACAAAATTAAAGTAATACTAAAGTGTTATTCCTAACACTTTTGTGATTCTGTCTCTAGTCAGAAAGGATGCCCCCAATTGTGTTAAAAAAAAAAAAAGCTTACCCTTTTCCAGCGCCAAAATACCCCTGATGCTGCCTGCTTACCGCTCCTCCTCATGCCTCAAGGAGGAGGCATGACCTCTGCGGCGATGTTACAATCCAAAGCTCTATATCCACATCTAAGCTTGTCCATAGCTTTTCTATAAGGGCATCTGCATCTTGTGACCGGTTAGTGCAGTGGAGACGATTCTAGTGGCTGTCAGTTTCACAGCCACAAGGGGTGAATGTAACCCTGCAATGTAAAGACTGCAATTTCTGGAAATCTGCAATGTTTTGGATTGCAGGGTTAAAACTAAAGGGCAACTGCACATAGGCCACTTCATTGACACTTTAACAGAATATTTCTGTAACAAACTACTGGGGTCGTGTTCAGTCCTGGAACACGGCTGCAGTAACAGCTCTCCCTTACACGCACGATCCACAGAGATCCTGAGGTTGAGAATAGGATTCTGTCGGGTCAGAGCCTGAGGAGGCGGCCAAATGCTGGCCAGATAAGGGGCTTGTGTGGGAAGGTGTAGGTGTAACTGGGGAGGAGTGTTAGGAAGGGTGTGGTAAAGGGAGGGGAAGGGTGCTGTGGTGTGTATATATAGGTGAACATTTCCCCCCCTTACCTCAGCCATTGTAGAAATTCCGGCGTGGTAACAGCTTCCCTCCCTCCCTCGGATGATGTTTTGTGAGGTTGACTCCTTTTTCCTGTCGCAGCTAGTGGGGAAGGTCCTTGCCAAGAGGGAGGTAACAGGAGCACATGGGGAAGAAAGAAGGTTGGGGCTGATCCCTCCCCTAATCTCTGATACATGGTTTGGATAAATGGACGTTCCCACTGAACCAAAGGCTGGCTAGTGGTTGGCATTGTGGTATGGTAAGGCCACGTTGGTGGTTAGGACGAGGGGGAGGACAGGCCCGATGAGGATTAGGGATTATCGGACGAATTGGCAAGGACTAGTTAAATTAAATATTATATTATGTTAATATGCTTAGTTATGGTTAACGATATTTGTTCAAGTGTAAATAAAGCTGTGGCCTATTTTATACCACAATTATGTCTCAGGTTTTATTTTAAAGAGGGAGGTTGAATGGGTTTTTTTGGTGTCTCACTACACGGTACCCACTACCTACACACAAGTGATGGCATGGGGGCTTTAATAAAAATAAAATAAAATCCTAGCAAACGTTTCCAAGAAGAGTCAGGCAGAAATCCGAGTCAGGTGGTCCAGAAGTCAGGGCAGACAGCACTCCGCAAAATCCATAGAGCAGGCAAAGTCAGGAAACCAGCAAAGACAGGAAACACAGGGAAACAAACGCTAGGAGTTCTGAGGCAGGCTACAAAACAGCCAAGCACTGACTGAAAGGTGTGCTCTGCTTATAAGGGAGTGGCTCAATCACATAACCTGGTCTCACCTTTAGGAGGGGTTACCTGAGGTCAATGTGACTGACTGTGGGACTCAGCCCTATCTTGGATGCATCATTGTCCTGGCTCCGGCCCTCCGTTGACTTGTCTCCTCATGCAGCGGCTGTCCTCTTGGAATGCTGGAACAATCACTCAGTTTCCTTTCCGTGAATCAAGGTTCAGTGGATGCAAACTGGGATGCACCAACCTCAGGCACTATAACCGCTGCAGACTGACCTCCAGGGTGTCATGGACGCCCTGGAACAGGTGAGTATCGTCTGCAAATATGACGATGTCTTACTATGCTATTTTACTTGTACAGAAGCTGATAGATAAGATCCAGCCAATCATAATGCAGGTGTGGGCCAAGTAGATATGTTTGGACCAAGTGAATGCCTCTGTGCTTCTATTAAGGCCTACGTTTCTCTGGCATGATGAAGGACTTGTGGACATTGATCAACACTCAGATCATCCATGTTAAAGGAACACTCCAAGCACCAAAGCCAGGACATTCCTGCCACCATAACCACTACAGCATGATGCAGTGATCATGGTACTTCGTGTGTTCCTTTAGAATATTTTTGCTGGGATATTTGGTTCTAAATTGGGAAATATACCCCTCACCCATTACTTAAAAGTTTATAGATAATGTGTTAGACATGGAATATGATAGCTATAGATTTGTTGGATATTGAAGGTCCAGAATTAAGGTAATTGAGCACCTGGGGATTAGAATTTGTCCTCTCCAGCCCCCACAATCTACACATGAGCATTGTTGTGTACTCTAGTTTTATTGTAAGTCTAGGCAGCCCAAAATATGTTTTATGAAACATGTTTTATTTATTTATTTTTTAAGTCAATCGGTATTTTCTTTTATACCATTTTTGCTTTTGCAGTTTTTTTTTTCTCCCATGGAAAGCTTTCACGAGAGACATTAACATATCCCAAGAAATCTGGGAAAGTTAGCCTCTTGGCTGAAAAGAAACAAAATTTGTAGCTTTTTTTTTTTTTTAGTCACATTAAATTATGCTCTATAAATGGTAAAATGATTGTGATAACTTGTGTTAGATAAATAAAATAAATTATAGCCACTCCCTGTAGCTTTACTTTAGTAATAAGTTATTTTTATTGCTTATTTATATAGCACCAACAAATTCTTCAGTACTAAATATAGCAAGTAAATGGCAATGCTGAACTCAGTTTGACAACGAAAATTCCTAAATGAGCTGACACTGAGGCCCTGAAATTTTATCACAAAGATTTTATGCAACAAATTACTCATTTAGAATCGAGCTTTAAAGGGGCCACTCCAGGCTGGAACTGTTCCTTTCTTTTTAATGGATATATAGAGAATTAAAAAAATATATAAATGCTAAAAGCAGCTCTGTCACCCCTATATCAAAAACACTCAAACTGACTGTGTTGGAATATCACTGAAATTCTAACCCAGTCAAAAGAAATACTTAGACAAGGTAGAGACTACTTTGTCTCCGTATTTTTCAAGCATCCATGGTAAAATCCATTTTATCGTCCAAACAAGTGTATTGAGTTCGGCTGGGGCTTTGGGAAGTATGATTTTAGTCTAGTCCGCACATCACAAACCGTTCTATTAACTACAGTCCGAATGATCCGGTGTCATATGAAACTACCTATGTGCAAAATCCGGACTTTGTTTTGAATATTTAATGAAATCTAAGCTTTGCAAACCAGGCACTGAATGAGTTTGACTTGAATTCGGGTACCAGTGCTTGCTAGTAAGACTCCACAGTAAAAAATAAAATAAAAAACAAAAAGCTGTTAACACTTTCACCTTTTCCAGAAGCCCCATAGTCCATTAAAATGTCTCAGTGGTCAATATGACCCCCATCTAACTATAGGGAGGTTTAAAACCTATGTCTACTAAATGTGCAGCTATAACAAGTGGGCAGCATGTATAACCCTATCTAATCTAGTCTGGGGTTTATCTGTGATCCATCAGCTGTTGATTCATTAGCAAATGGTTTGACTACTTACATTAGGGGGGCACCAGTGCACTCTTGGATCCATAACCACTACAGTACACTGTAGTGGTTATGGTACTTGGAGCATTCCTTTAATGATCGCTGCCACTAAGATGGTGGGTATGGACTGACTTATAGATATTATTTTTTTCTACCAGTTGAGAAGTTAGTTCTACCGTCCGTCACAGAGCCAAGGATTTATACTCTCTACTTGTCTTATAGGTTGTTTTCTTACTTGCTATTATACTGTAGTGGGAATTTTTTTTTTTTTTTTTTTACTAAATTGCTTTTTGGGGTGGGTTAACTCACTTTGAAGCAGGGTTATTAACTTTCAAGAAAATAAAAATAGGAAGACCAAATATCTTCAAGTACATGTACTAAATGAAGTTATTAAAATAGTCTTTGTGACCCATACATCGATCCTATTTACTCTGTTTGGAATTAATAATCTAAGCATTTTTTTTGGTAGATTTATACTAAATATATTGACTACCAAAAAAGGTCAATTTGTAATGTCATGCCTTTTTGTTTTGTTTTCTAGTTTTTGTGTTATTTTACAGTAATCTCATGCCTGCTTTGTACCGAGACAACTATTTATAATGATTCCTTAATGACAAGATATTTGGCATCTAACATTGTATACGACTGCCTGTCAAATCTTCTCTTGTTAAGGGGTTAACGCTTAAACTGCGCAGTTCAGTGCTGAAGTTACAATGTGGTTGCTATGCTAATGTGCCAAAAGGGCCTGTCCTCTTAGGGAAGGGGTTATGGTAAATAAATGTGTTTTGGAAGCAGCTGATAGGATGAAAGGTTGAAAGGGCAAGTCAATATGATTATATACTGCTCTTCCAAATGCAAGGCTGTATTTGGTTTTAATAGTTGTCGCACATTAACTCCTCGGGCTTGGGCCGTGCCCTTGACCTGTCCCATCGTTCTCATTCCTTCACTCCTGTTCCAGAGAAGGAATGGCGAGGGTCCCTGCAGAGAGAGGTATGTGGTTTGCAGCAGTTGTCTGCTGATCCAGTACTTCCAATAAGAATGACCTCATGCAGCAAACAATAGAAGTGTCTCAGGAAGTCCTCAGAGGACCACAATTCGAGTGCTCAGTTTTTCCAGAGGTTACACTATGGAGATTTGTTTGTTTTTGTTCAATTTATTGCTCGTACGGCTCCACCCAACAAAGCCCCTCCATGTCCTGAAACATTTTCCGTCAATAGTGACACTCTGTCTTCCTCTTTCCTCTTGTTATTCGTTTGACCCTCTTTGTCCCTGTTGCTGTGATTTTTTTTTTTTGATTTTTTTTTTTTCTGTCTTATGTAGGGATATTCCAAGCTGACTTTTGTCACTGTTGTTAGAAAGAAGATAGAAAAAACACTAAATGCAGAAATAATGTTACATTTAATAGATTTAAAAAAAAATCTTCCTAATTACAAACCTTTAAGCAAAATCCAAAACATTTAATTCAACATTGGAAGTGGGGTTTTACTTAATAAATCCTTATGACCGTGTGTTCTATAGTTTGTTGGTGACTTTTAAAAGCAGTTGGTCGCCTGGGAGTTTTTTTTTTTTTTTTTAAATTCTTTATTTTATTTGACAAAGTATTATAGAACAAGGCAAGATGTTCCGGTTTAAGCATATACCGTGGTCAAGTATAACATAACATATTACAGTATAGGCATACAGTTGATAAGCGTGGTAGACATCAGATGCTACAATAAGTGCCTGTAGCACAGGACTCTTTATTAGGGGGCTTGGACATCACTTTTGTGCTGTCGATTTTTTTATTGTATATTGAGTCAGTTACAGGTGGCCAGAGCGTGAAGGTGGGTTTCTGTAGGCATTCGGTGGTGCCTATCCTAGCGCTATTGGAGGGTTTCAGGGTACCGTTGGGCGATGAGATATCTCTTAATGATGCTGTGGAGTCTCCAACTATGTTAGATACAGGTGACGGCCCTTCTGACTTGTTCCAGCTGCAAATTGTCCCCTGTATTGTGGAGCCCGCGTTCAACTCCTGCTTTGTACTAGATACAACTGAAATACACTTTGGCCTGACTGGGCCCCCCTCCACTCCCTGGCGCCTACCTGCCTGGCGTGTGAATTCGTGCGTGTTTGCGCTGATAGTTCGCTTCAGTGTGCTATCATTGCCTGCGTGTGCTTAATGTGTATATTGTATCAAGCGGGCCCTCGTCTAAGGCGAGGACCCGGGTAAGAAGATAAGAGAAAGGTAGAGTGAAGATAGAAAGGAGGGTGGGGGGGTGGGTGGACCAGGCGCCCGGGCAGGCGGGGGGAGCCCAAGGGGACGGGGGGGGGGGAAGAAGGAGGCGGGGAGAGGGCGGCGGGAAGGGGGGAGGGCACCAAGCAGACTAGCATCTTCCACCTCTCGGACCCCCCGGGCCGCGGCCCCGCCAAGCGCAAGGACGGTTACTCCGCCAGGGGGCAGTCCTTCCAGCGTCCCCACGTCCTTTCGAAAGCCTTTTGAGTACTGCGCACCCTTGCTGTGAGGTCGTCCATTAGGCAACTATCTTTTATTCTCCCCAGGATCGCTGCCCTGGTGGGGGGCTGCATTTTTAACCATCGTTGTGCGAGGGCTCGTCTGGCCGCCAATGTGATTTTGTTGAATAGTTTTAGGTCATATTTGGGCCATTCGTCAATTGGTCTGCCCAGGAGGTATGTCCACGGGTCAAGGGCGGGTGCCCTCTGGAATACCTGTCGCCTGGGAGTTTTTAAATTGATTACTGAGGAGAAAGACTATACAATTATTGCAAATATGTAACTCTGCCAACCAGCGCCAATTCATGGAGTATGTATCCATGTAACATATCTTGCAGGATTTTTTTCCCTGGAAGGTGAGGGGGGATCATTGAGCTCTGGAAACACTTTGGTCTAAGTGGTGGTACTGGTGTAATCATTTACTGCCCCTTTAAAACATATTGAAACAAACAAATTCAAATAAAAGGTTGAGCAGGTGCTCTTAGTTGTTCCCGGCAAAAACATATTTTATCCCTTCAGTATACATGATTGACTTCATTTTGTATAGCAAAATAAAAAGTATACCAAGACTCACTCCCTCCCTCCTCCCCCCCCCCCCAATCCATTGCTGCTGCTCACTGGGCTGGAAACCACATTTCTCACCCAGAGCTCTGGATAGTTCCTCGGTCTCACATCTTCACATGGTGAGACTGTAAATGAAGTCACAGTTACTGTAGGCCGTAAACAATATTATGGTGCTTCTACTCTAATTTTCAGAATCTTTATTTCAATGCACGAACAAGGGAATCAATTCTTTCTTTACATTTACTTAAAGGATCACAGTAGGATCAGGAACACAAACATGTATTCCTGACCCTATAGTGTTAAAACCACCATCTAGCCCCTCATGCCTCCATAAATCTAGCAAAATCTTACTGTATTCAAGCCTGAAGCTGTAGCTCTGCATGCTGTCTGCCTCAGAAAAACAAACAGTCCGCTGATATCATCAGAAGTGGTAGCCTGATCCAATCACAATGCTTGCCCATAGGATTGGCTGAGACTGACAAAGAGGCAGATCAGGGGCAGAGCCAGCATGATTCAAACACAGCCCTGGCCAATCAGCATCTCCTCATAGAGATGAATTGAATCAATGAATCTCTGAGGAAAGTTCAGTGTCTGTATGTAGAGGGAGGGGACACAATGATTGGATGCATTTTAGGCAGCCATGACCCAGGAAGGATCTGTAACAGCCATCTGAGTGGCCAGTGAAGTTATCACTAGGCTGTAATGTAAACACTACATTTTCTCTGAAAAGACAGTGTTTACAGCAAAAAGCCTGAAGGTAATGATTCTACTCACCAGAACAAATTCAATAAGCTGTAGTTGTTCTGATGACTATAGTGTCCCTTTAATTTACACTGTTTAGGTATCCTTAATTACAGTCTATAGACTTTTAGTTTTTTAACAAAAGTAGCTGGTGAAGGCTTTAAAAAAAAAAAAAATAGAATAGTTGTGCCACTTAGTTAAAAGCACTTAAATTGCCCATCCAAATCCACTTATTTCTCTTTAAAAGATGAGGTCTGAGAATGGGTATATCAAGAGATAACTGGCACATGCACCTCAATACTAGGCGGTAAAAGGAAGCCATACCACAAGAAGAGAAAGTATGAGTTGGGTCGTCCCGCTTCCACCACAAATATCAGTCCTGGTGTATCCATACTGTGAGAGTTTGCTGTGGTAACAAGAAGTATTGTGTTTCGAAATTGGGTGCTGGTAACTTCTCCTGGGGTTCTAAGTGTTTGACATGCAAAACCAGAATTATTGATGTTGTGTACAATGCTTCCAACAAAGAACTTGTCCATACCAAGACACCTGTGAAAAACTGCATTGTCCTGGTGGACAGCATCCCCTACAGACAGTGATATGGAGCTCACTATGCCTTGCCGCTTGGACGTAAGAAGGGAGCCAAACTTATTCCTGAAGAAGAAGAAACCCTGAATAAAAAAGATCCCAAAAATCTCAGAGGAAAAATGATGAGCAAAAGAACACTGCCCAGATCAGCCCTCTTTACTGCTAGCCTTCATAGCATCCTGACCTGGTCAGTGCTGTAGAGCTGCAATTTTACTTTTGGAATATAAAGGGCATATAAACACGTAGGCAAAACCCATTTACTTCAAATAAAATTTTTTTTTTTATTAAAACCAAACAAAATAAAAAAGATGTTTTTTACAGTGAGAATCGCGGAAGCGGCCTCTAGTGGCTGTCAGTGAGACAGCCACTAGAGGCTGGATTAACCCTCAGTGTAAACTATGTTTTCAGCTGCAGGGTTAAAACTAGAGGGACCTGGCACCCAGACCACTTCATTGAGCTGAAGTGGTCTGGGTGCCTATAGTGGTCCTTTAAGCCTCTGCAGAGGTATGATACATAGATATTTAGTCTTCTTATTCACAGAGATTACTGATCACATAAGTCATCAACTGCATTTACAGCAAGGTCAAAGCAGGAATAAGTATATATTTTCAATATAAATTGTTCTGTTATAAAGATCTACTTTCAATCACTTATGTTTAATTTATAGGCAATGTGACTATGGACTATTAATATGCATGAAATGTGTGTATTTTCTACTAAGGAATAATACACAAAAACCTACTATAGTCGTTGTATCCATGTTATATATCCTCTAAGCAATTTGTTTTATTACCCAATTACACATTTGTAATAAACTGAACATGGTTAAGCATTTTAGAGACTTTTTTTTTTTACAGGTTGCAAGGGAGAATATATCTATCTTCAACCCATGTAATACAACACACAATCGTGTTTTTAGCATTTGCATGCTTGGCTTCTTTTTCCTTGTATAATGAATGTGGTTTTTTTTGTTTTTTTTAAATCTTGCAGACAGGACGTGTTGATAAGAACCACCCCATGGTCAGCGGGCATACAGCTCCTGTACTAGATATCGACTGGTGTCCCCATAATGACAATGTCATTGCAAGTGCCTCAGATGACACCACTGTTATGGTAAGTGTTTCGTAACTTTTTGCGGTTTCTGTAAGTGTCCAAAATGAATTGATTTTGTTTGTCACTCTCCACCCAATTTTGAGCTGTCAATGTCTAGATCATGTGATTAACGATAAATGACTGAAGTAAAGCCTCTTTTTAAAACTCTAGTTACTACAACCATATTATCTCACCGAATTGATTGTAGCTCCTGAAGTCATCTGTCACTCCATGCAGTGTTAAACCAAGTTCGAGCAGTAACACTGAATGAGAGATTCTGACCCCCACTGAAGGTATGGCTAAGGCAAATAATATACTATTCCTTCCAGCTATACCAATTCACACACACAGTATGCGCAGTGTTATTCAGAAAGGAGTTAGCGGACATTCTTAGCCAATCACTGCTTCCCATTGCTCTGCCTTTTGCTCCCTTACAGACTGCTTGCGGGGGAACTCGTTTAGCATTAACCCATTACTAAATGGGTTAACACTGAATGGAAGGGCAGAGGAGATAATAATATATCTTTATCAGGATTAAGAGGTTACTGTACTTCAGTAACATTTCAAGTCGATAATGATTTCTAACTTCGACTGCATTACCAAGAGAAATAATTTGTGATTTGGATTGTGATTTCACTGGAAACGCTCACGTACTACTATCAGCAGTCGAAAGAGTTATTGATTTAATACTGAATTTAGATATTTGTTAAGGCTGACTCTTTCCCAAGGACCACTATTAAGAGAGTTGGATAGCCTCTGCCATGGCAAGATGCTGTGAATATAACATCCTTAGATTAATTGGGCAGAAGGCCAATTCAGGAAAATTGGTTGCTGTGTTCTGGTGTTCAATTATTTGTGCATGACATTTTCAATCAAAGAATGTAAATCCAGTCAGTGACCAGGGAGTGCGCGGAAGTGAATAAATGAATTGCTTCTCCCTGCTGCTAGCCAAGAAGTCAAGGGGCCATTCTTAAAGGGACACTATAGTCACCTGAACAACCTTAGCTTAATGAAGCGGTTTTGGTGTATAGAACAACCCCCTGCAGCCTCACTACTCAATCCTCTGCCATTTAGGACTTAAATCCCTTTGTTTATGAACCCTAGTCACACCTCTCTGCATGTGACTTGCACAGCCTTCCATAAACACTTCCTGTAAAGAGAGCCCTATTTAGGCTTTCTTTATTGCAAGTTCTGTTTTATTAAGATTTTCTTATCCCCTACTATGTTAATAGCTTGCTAGACCCTGCAAGAGCCTCCTGTATGTGATTAAAGTTCAATTTAGAGATTGGGATACAATTATTTAAGGTAAATTACATCTGTTTGAAAGTGAAACCAGTTTTTATTTTCATGCAGACTCTGTCAATCATAGCCAGGGGAGGTGTGGCTAGGGCTGCATAAACAGAAACAAAGTGATTTAACTCCTAAATGACAGTGAATTGAGCAGTGAAATTGCAGGGGAATGATCTATACACTAAAACTGCTTTATTTAGCTAAAGTCATTTAGGTGACAATAGTGTGCAATTATAAAATATTCTTTCAATAAGTTGCAATCCTGTTAGTGCAGACCCATTATACCATTTCTAGAATTTTCAGCTTTTTTAGCTTATCAGCTTATCACTTTAGCTACTTTTCCCTAATTTATACCCCTTTGCCTTATTCCTCCAACTTTTCCAATTTTGTTTTCATATTTCTTTATTTTGCACCTATTGTCTTATTTCCCTGATTCATCCCTCCAATGTCATATTATTACATTTTCCCCACTAATGCCATAGTCTCCAGTTCATTCCTTATTATAATGTTTTAGAAATGTATTGTCCTACTATTCTGATTCACTCCCGTTTCCATATACTCGTCAATTCTTTTGTTGTAATCTTCCCCAAATTGCCCCCTCACCCACTCCTTATTGGTATGTGGTACACATGTGACACACACAAACTAAGAGGCAGTGCGTGTGGTGGCCTGTTAATGTAATGTGTGGGTTTGGAACACCATGTGCCTTCCCTCGTCGTAATATGCCGCATAACGTGAGGAATCCAGTTTGTGTGGCTAGATAAAGTTGCAAGATAAAGAGATGTGTATTTCTACATTTAAATTTATTTTTCACACCTCAAACATACAAATTTACTGAATATATGAAATAAGTACACATAATAAAAATACTGGGACAGTTCCCCTTCAAGCATAAAGAACTGGTCAGTGGAGGGGGTTTGCCAAAATATGCATCTGGCAGAAAAATGTGCACAAATCTGATAATGCTACAATCCTCTGACCATTGAACACAGTATGGTATTCACTGTTTAGTGAATACATCTTTAAATGTTCATTTCATTTTATCTGTTCATGTATTATCCATTAGTGTTTTAAAAAGTGCAGAATGAAAATGTAACTAGAAATCTGTTGGGAATGTACATTACTCTGGAGTTACGTCTGAGTTATATATAGAACACCCAGCCATATGTCCACGGAGTGGGTTCTTATTTAAAGCGTGAACTGTGGAGGGTTAATGACGTGTAAAGTGAAATGTAAGCCAAGATATTACATTTGTAAAAAAAAAAATATTAAAAAAAAATTATTGGTATAAATGGCCAAAGTTTGCAAGGCAATCTGGGATTTTCCACAACTTGCTGGTTAGTGAATAACCCCCTGTTTTTTGGATCTCACGCTGTGATACAGCATTTAGTTCTAATTTTATACCTCCGTCACTGAGGGCCAGGGAAGCTGCTAATCAGATGCTAAAAACAGAGGCAGCCTTGTGACGAGGGTGGGGGGTTTCCAACAAGCTGATATTCAGCCATCGGCACACTCTGATGTCAGTTTGGCTTTTTATTCTTTTTTATGAGCCAGGAAATGTGGCGTTCCTTTTGTTCCATTTCTTGAGAACAGCTTTGGGGCTATGGCCAGTGGAATATTGTATGTGTAAATTTTAAATGCACCCATCTCATGTGCCGCATGTATCAGAACACCAGAGCACTCTGTGACATGAGAAGGGAGGAGGCCAAAACATCATGGGTGTAACTGAGGCTTGCCTCATCCTGTGCATTTCAATACTGTTGCCATCTATATCACAATGCCCTGTGTTATTACTGTGTCAATGTATCTAACTAAAAACATTACATGTAAACTATTTTCTGCAACCAGAACTTAAAGGAACACGATACCAAAACAATATTGGATTAATGAAGCAGTTTTGGTTTATACATTATGCCCCTGCTGTCTCACTGTAAAATTATCTGCCATTTAGGAGTTAAATCACTTTGTTTATGCAGTGCTAGACACACCTCCCTGCAGGTAACTTGCACAGCCTTGCTAAACACTTCCTGGAAAGAGTCATCTCACGTTTATACTTTCTTTATTGATAATTATGTTTAATTTAGAATGTCTTATTTCCTGCTAGCATAGCATTCAGGACCCTGCAGGAACTTCCTGTGTGTGATTAAAGTTCAATTTACAGATCAGGAGATATAAACATTTGATTTAAAATGCAGGCTGTGTGAGTCTATAGTATCCCTTTAAATATTTACTGTTCTTTGGGTTATAACAAATTTGGACAACAGATTCAGCTGCCCACCTCTATCCCAAATAAATAATGGAAAACCTATTGGGTAGCAAGCAGTATAATAAGGGTTTAATTAAAACCTTATCTAGTGCTTTTACAAGTTATTTTAAAGTATTGCACCAACCCATTTTATTAAATAAATATGAACTTACAAGGTTATTCATAAATGCGGAGAATTTAAAGTGAATATCAAATTGAAGGCCAAAGTAGCCGAACTGATCGCATAGTTGACTTGGAGAATTTTCCTGATTCAGCTTTTTTGACCTTAAATTTGAAATTCACTTTGATTTCCCTGAATTTCACACTTTAGCAAATAACCCAGTATGGGTGTAGGTAAGGGGGGACCCATAACAGTTTGTGCACAGTATCAGGGGATGTACTAACAACAACCAAAGAGCAGGGTAGGAAGCAGAGACACTGGAGACTGTTTGATAGCCATAGTCTTGTAATAGGTTTTAACAAACACTTGGAACCTCCAACCCACCTAATCTTAAAGGGACACTCCAGGCACCCAGACCACTTCTGCCCATTGGAGTGGTCTTGGTTGCCAACTCCCATCACCCTTAACCCTGCAAGTGTAATTATTAAATCAGACAGCCACTAGAGGGACTTCTGGGTTCCTAAAAGACAAAAAGTGTTTTAAACAACGCTGGACAACCTCACGCTATGCTTGAGGACCTCCAGCATCGCCAGAAACCCCATAGGAAAGCATTGATGTCGGCAAGGGAGGAGCGTGGGCAGTTTCAGGTAAGTCACTAAAGGGGTTTAAACCCCTTCAGCAACATGGAATGGGGGAGGAAGGGGGAACTGCAGACTTCTGCAGTGCCAGGAAAATTGATTTGTTTTCCTGGCACTGGAGAGTCCCTTTAAGGGCAGCCAAAGAGTGCTGTGTGGAATCCTTGGACATTTATGGTTTCAAATATAGGCAGAAAGGAATGGTCCATTTTAAAGGAACACTTTAAAATATCCCCTATTTCTTACTTTATAAAAGTGATAATTTCAAGAAAATGACAGCCGGGAGAGTGCTAGTAGTGACATCTTTGTGCTCAAGCAAAAAACGGATGCTAGGCTTATCATGTTCTTTGCCTTCTAATGCATCACTTCTATTTGTTCTTTTCATGGCAATCCGTGTCCACATGTTCCATCAGTGGAAACACAAGTTTGTCAGCGTTGATTGTCATCGTTAATGACTACAATGGCATCTCCCGTCACTAGCAAAGAAGACTGAGATAAGTAATTACAGACAATTTTGTGACCAGTAGTAAATGAATCCTCATTGATTCCAATGGAAATTGCTAAAGAAATAAAAATGCAAGTTCCAATCAAATAAAATACCTACCCTTGTGGTCTTGTTGGACTGTGCTCATGTATTGATTAGAACTACACTCACTTGTACATGATTATTGTGCCTCCATGTACAATTGTTATATGCAGGGCTGCCATCCGAAATTTTAGGGCCCCTGACGCAGCTCAATATCTGGCCCCGAGTCCGCCCACAAGGATGAAGTGTGTGTGTGTGTGTGTGTGTGTGTGTGTGTATAGTGGATGTGTGTCATGGATGCAGTATGTAGTGGATGTGGTATGTGTGTCATGGATGCACTGTGTATAGTGGATGTAGGATGTGTGTAGTGGATGTGGTATGTGTGTCATGGATGCACTGTGTATAGTGGATGTAGAATGTACATTTTGTGTAATATCTGTATGCATGCATTAGATGCACAGTTTGTGTACAGTGAATGCAGTGTGTGTGTTTTTGTAGTGGATGTAGTGTGTATAGTGCATGTAGTGTGATTGTATAGTGAATGTAGTGTGTCTGCAGCGAGTGCAAAGTATGTATAGTGATTGTAGTGAATACAAAATGTAGATAGTGAATGTAGTGTGATTGTAGTGAATGCAAAATGTGTATAGTGAATGTAGTGTAATTGTGGTGAATGCAGAGTGTGTGTGTATAGTGAAATATGATATTAAACCGTATGTTGGTGGTGAATCCCTGATAGACGAAATATAATATAGTACCCTGATATTAGTCGTCCGACTAATATGACGTGAACCGGTTACTGTCTTATTGTTTATCCTCATTTTCTCAAACCCTGGTTTTAAAGCAAACTTATATCACTGCATGCATTCCCAGAATTCTGTATGACTGTTCCAGAGAAGGAAATAAATATTACTCAGACACAATCACTGTATTTCATATTCTAGTGACATCTAAGATGTTATCTGAGTGTCCCACAATGAGCACTGATTCCCGGCACTGCTGCCAGCTGTATACTGGCTATTGTTGGACAACCAGCCTGTCTGGGCAACTATTTTAAGTGTGCTGATTGTGATTCATATTTACCAGAGGCTGTATAATGACATCTTAAGTGATTCTCTTTTCCTGAACAGCTTTGCTGCTATTGTTTCCAGTTAACAAAATTTATTGCACTGTTTGTCTGCTGTTACGGTATTCGTCTGTCTTGCGGCTGCCTGTATGCACATATTTTCTCTACGCATTTCATGTTTTAAAGGTTTTAACAATGACCACTCTAGTAAAACAATGTATTTTCGTATGGTCTGTTATTTTGGATAAATTAATAAACTATGAAGACCTTTTTCCATTTGTTTATTATTTCATCATCCTTTTAGATAGTAAACTCTATGGGCAGTGCCCTTTTCACCTACTGTCGTATATGTTTTGTTAGAAATACACGTTTGCCTTGTTTCCTATTATACAGTGTTGCTGTATATGCTGGCACTATATAAGTAATTTAGACAGCTGAATTAATACAATTAGGTGTATGGAAAGATATACTTTTGGGAGCTTCACAATAAAAAATAATTACCTGGAAACACTACCAGATTAGTTACTGATCTCAGCATCTTCTAATACTTGAGTATAATAAAAACCAAATGAAAAAAAGTTACTTGCTCACTATCCTAAATCCCTGTGCACATGGAAATAACTGGAGACTTTTAGTATCACTCCAATGGCCCTTCAAGTGTAAACTCACCTGTCATGTCAAGGCAAAACCTTAGGTGAGTCCTACACTAACAATTCACCTTTTGATTTCAGACGAAAAGGAAAAATCTGAGACAGAAAGGGGTATTTTTCCATGGGGTGGTTGGCATAACTGTAGTGTATTGCCCAGGGTGGCCCAAGATATTGTGCTGCCTGGATCCAAGTATGAAAAGCTGCTCCTTCCCCACCAAAAAACAAACAAACAAACAAGCATATATGCTTCTGCAATGGTAGTATATCTATGTGGGTGTGCTGGAAGTGAAGTGTGTGCATGTGTGTACTGGGGATGTAGTATGTGTCTTTGTGTGTTCTGGGGGTGTTGCTTGTGTCTGTGTGTGCACTGCAGCCAGGGCCGGCCTTAGGGGTGTGCGAGCTGTGCGGCCGCACAGGGCGCCATGGTCCAGGGGGCGGCCTGACAGCCGACACAGCTCGCACATGGCTGGTGTCAGGGGAGCTAAATCAGGTACCTGGATGGAGGATTAATTATTCTCCACCTGGGTCTATAAAAAACAAAACAAAATCGAGGCAGCGACGGGGTCGGGGCTTATCAAGCGTCACCTTCGGGTAGATAATACCTACCCGAAGCTGCACAGGAAGGGGGAAGCAGGAAGGCATCCCTGCTTCCCCAACAACCAACTGCATCCACTACCCCTTCCAGCCACAATGGAAAGAGGTAAGTCTGTGTGTGTGTGTGACTGCCTGCATGTGTGTTACTGTTTGCCTGTTCATGTGTCTGCCTGCCTGTGTGTGTATGTGTGTGAGACTGTCTGTCTGTATGACTGCCTGCCCGTGTGTGTGTGACTGTATGTCTGTGTCTGTCTGCCTGTGTCTGCCTACCTGTGTGTGTGTGTGTGACTGTCTGCCTGTGTGCCTGCCTGTGTGTGTGTGACTGTCTGACTGCCTCCCTGTGTGTGTGACTCCAATTGTGTGTGTGTCGCTGTAGCTGTGCTGTTGTGTGTGCCTGTTCCTGTATGTGTGACAATCTGCCTTTAACTGAGTGTGTGTATGCCTATCATCATGAGTGTCTGCATGCCTGTAACAGAGTGTGTATGACTGTCTGCTTGTAATGGAGTATGTGTGACTGTCTGTCTGTAACTGTATGTGACTGTCTGCTTTTAACTGTGTGTTTGGCTCTGTGACTGTCTGTAACTGTGTGTGTGTGTTTGAGACTGCCTGTAACGGAGTGTGTCTGTCTGCTTGTAACTGTTTGTGTGACTGTCTGCTTGTGCCTGTGTGTGACTGTATACAGGCAATTTGGTGGGGGGAGGTGGGAGCGCCGTGAAGACTTTTCGCACAGGGTGCCTAATGGCCTAAGGTCGGCCCTGACTGCAGCCAATACACTACCAATATTATTATTATTATATTTATAGAGCGCCGTCAAATTCCGCAGCGCTTTACAATGGGTGGACGAGCAGACATGTAGTTGTAACCAGACAAGTTGGACACACAGGAACAGAGGGGTTGAGGGCCCTGCTCAATGAGCTTACATGCTAGAGGGAGTGGGGTTAAATGACACAAAAAGGTAAGGATAGTATTAGACTAGTGACAGTTGCAGAAGAGGAATCAGTCAGGAGCTATTAACAGTTTAATTGATACGCTTTTATGAAGAAGTGGGTTTTTAACGATTTTTTTTAAAGGAGTGGAGACTGGGTGAGCATCTAACGGAGGAGGGAAACGAGTTCCACAGGAACGGTGTCTGTGTATATGCATGTGTGTCAGTGTTTGTATCTGTGTGTCTGTATGTGTGTCAGTGATTATATCTGTGTGTCTGTATCTGGATGTGTGTCAGTGATTGTATCTGTTTGTCTATGTACATGTGTGGCAGTGTTGTGTGTCTGTATATCTGCATGTGTATCAGTGTGTCTGTGCAACTGTATGTGTGTCAGTGTTTGTATCAAAAACTGACAAACATACAGATGTACAGACAATGGCATACATACAATCCATGGGGCCCCGGTGCAAAAACTGCTCCATGGGCTCCCCCCCTCACCTCTCTCCCCTTCCCTTCCCTCCCCACTCTCCTCTGATCCGTTGCCCCCCCCCTGACACATACATAGACACAGACAGACACACCCCCCCAACAGACACATACATACACACATACACACAGACACATATATACACACACATACTGTAACGGATCACCTGGCACCCCTTCGTTAAAGGATGCTCCTAGTACTTTCCTGAGGGCTCCAAGCACTCCAGCCGACACCATAACCCCCGTAGACTCCCTCCGCTCACTCAGACTCAGCCAGTAATTACACACAAAATCCTGCCTGTGATATAATTACTGAACACAATGGGTTAATGTAATTATCACAGGCAGAGAAATACAGTTTTTACACATGTACTATAACTTTAAAACTATACATTCAATATTCATAAAATGACATATTAATACTCAGCACACTTTAATTACACACATATCCAAAATTTAGGTGATTCCTTCCAGGGGTTAAAAAGTTAGCCGGAAGTCCTTTATGACCGGAAGTCCTTCACACTGAAAAAATGACCATCGCCGAACGGGACTTAGTCTCTGCGGCTGAAAAATCAGTGTAGGAGAAGGTTAGGGTTGAAAAAAAGATGGCTGCCGCCACGTGTTTGTTTGCACGAACGGCGGCCCCCCAGTGGTCAGCAATTTACTACAGAAGGCTCCCAGTCTGGGAGGTAAATTGCCTGCACACTTCCAGTTCTAGGTGGTCTGCCTGTACAGTACTTGGTTCATTAAGCCCCATTTACTGAACCAAGTGGGAACAAGCCATAAAGTATTTTAAAGGTCTGGGGACATAGTTTTAAAGGGGCATTGTTCCCAAAAGTCACAATATGTCCCCAGACGGTTCTTAAAGGGCCAGCATGGTCCAATAAAAATCCATAAGCTCCAATGCTGGTTTTAAAGGGCACCATCTCCCAGGGGCCCTAGTCAGCAGGCAGGAGGCGGTCAAGCAGCCCCCTCCAAAAACCAGTGGTGAGGTCCCACTGGTTTTTTTTATGTACAGAGACACAGACACACATACATACACAGACACAAAGATACATACAGACACACACATACAGAGACACACACACATAATCCTTCTGCTCAGCTCCGTCGCGGGCGGTCTACTGATGCCAGGAGCCGGAATATGATTACAGCTCCCTCTAATGCACTTACAGCGGCCATATATAGATATGCGCCATGGCTCCACTGGGGCCTATGGATGGGCCGGCCCTGGTATTACCACACCTTCGCGTGGTTGGGCTTAAAGCAACACCTTTTGCAGGTGAAATATCAAAGTCAAAGACAACAAGCCAAGATCAGGGATTCCAGAAAACACAGCATCATTAAGCCAAGGTGGGTTAAAGAGTAGAAAGATCAGGGTAGTCAGAGAAGCTAAAATAGGTAACCAGGAAATTTCAGGTAATCAGGGTCGCTCTATTGTGATCACAAAGAAACAACAGCAGAGATAAACTCAAGTATTATTCGGTTTGGGGCATTTACTTAATAGCCATGCCCCAAAAACGTGATTGGGCATGGACAATAATGCAATTTAGCGTTGATGATGTCATGAAGTCTGTGTGACATTATCACATCATAAAAAGGGGAGGAGCAACATAGTCTAGCAGTAGAAACGCTAGGTACCTGAGGGTTTGAAACTGACATGGTGAGGGTTGTGGATTGACGGTTAATGGATTAGGTCACACACCACAGAGGCTCTGTGACTCTAGCCCAGTATTACAGCTTTCCTGCCTACAATCACGGGGAAGACACAACGCCAGGCGACCCCCGGACCCTCCAGCCGAGCCTCACCGAGACGAGCATCAGGCCTCATGGACGAATTCTTGTCCACTCTGGACGGCCTCCGACACACGGGGCCCATTGACAAAATGGCGCCAGGATCTCCTGATGCGGAGAGTGTCGCAGACTCGCAGCAGGACTCATACCGGGTCAAAACCTTCTCGCAGATATTAGCCGAACTGTCGACAATCGACTGCCAACATTCTCACTAGGGCAGACAAAACGGCTCTGGTCACAGAGCTACAATCAATAATTAGAGAGGAAATGATGGAGGTCCGCAGAGATCTCACTGCCTTAGAGCAGTGGGTGACTGAACTAGAAGCCGAAAACATTCAAGCCATTCAGCACTCACAAGCCACTGACTTAGCCACATCACGACAGGGTTCTGTTCTCCTGGACCTGCATAGGCAAGTGGAAGACTTGAACAACCGGGGAAGACGCAATAACATCCGCGTCAGAGGCATACCCGAGAGCGAAGGAGAAGACCTCACAGACACCCTAATGCAGCTGTTCGAGCAGATCCTGGGTGAGGAGGCCCCAGACGAGTTCCACATAGAGAGAGCACACAGGGCATTGCTCCTCCCTAGGAGAGCTGGCCTGCCGCGGGACGTGATCTGCTGCCTGTTGTCCTTTCATCTCAAGGAGGCCATCATGAAAGCAGCCAGACCACAAACCATCACCTACCAAGAAGCTCAAGTGGCCTTATTTCAATATAACCATGGAAGCGTGCCAGGCACTGAGGCCTCTCACACGCCTACTACAAGATAGAAGAATCTCCTCTTAATGGGGCTTTCCCTTCAGCCTCCAGGCCCGAAAGGACAACACCTGGCATTCCATGAGATAGCCTAACCATGTTCCTGCGGACCCTGGGCCTCCCAGCAGTTGCTGTGCTGAACTGGATCCTGGAGGGTCCCCCTATACACCCCAGGCTCCAGGGGGGGCTTAGGCCAGAAACCCGACCCAGATGAGTGGTGGCCTGATCGGTCCAGAAGAATATTGGGGACTCCAAACCCCTGGGCCCAACCCCTGTGGTCACTTGCCGTTTGAATAACACAGCCCTTTCCATATGCACACCGGAGGCCCACCAGCCATTGCAGAGAAGGGGAGACTGGGGTTCGCTGATGGGTACATACTCTCCCTTTGTTGTAGCCCCTTGAACGCAGTCTCATATTCACGGATGCATTACCTCCCTTATCCAGCGGGCCTCTCGTTTTAGGTGTTGAACAGGTGGGGGCCAGGAAGAAGTTCACCGGGGACAAGCGGCTGGTAAAATACACTCATTACTCTGGCTGGGAAACATTTAGCTTCTTATGAACGGGCAAGCCAATGATAGATGCCACCCTGCAAGTGTGTTGCTCCCTCAGGTTTCAACAACCCCCCTGACACCCATCACGCATAACCCGGACCTCGGCGGTGGCCTAATACCGGCAGAACTCCACCATTTTACACAAACAGACTGGCTGTATGTACGCCAGTGTTGTCGGATCCCCACTTAAACCACTGGCAGATATATTTACTTAAGCCATCCCTACTGGGATGGATAAATACCACTACCACCAATTTAAAGGAGCACTATAGGGTCAGACATGTATTCCTGACCCTATAGTGTTAAAACCACTATCTAGCCCCCTTTGCCTCCCTGAAGATAGTAAAATCTTACTTGCATTCAAGTCTGAAGCTTTTGTCTCTGTCTGTGAACTTCCTCTGACATTAACAGAAGTGATGTCCTGATCCAATCACAATGCTTCCCCATAGGATTGGCTGAGACTGACCAGGAGGAAGATCAGGGGGCAGAGCTAGCACAATTCAAACACAGCCCTGGCCAATCAGCATCTCCTCATAGAGATGAATTGAATCAATGAATCTCTATGAGGAAAGTTCAGTGTCTGCATGCAGAGGCAGGAGATATTGAATGTTTGGATGCATTTTAGGCTTAGGAAGGATCTGTAACAGCCATCTGAGGAGTGGCCAGTGAAGTTATCACTAGGATGTAATGTAAACACTGCATTTTCTCTGAAATACAGTGTTTACAGCAAAAAGGTAATGATTCTACTCATCAGAACAAACACCATAATAAGCTATAGTTGTTCTGGTGACTATAGTGTCCCTTTAAGACATACTATGCAGCTTTTCTCTGCAAGCACCTCCTCCACAGGGACCTTATGCAATTTGAAACTTTATGCACAGCCAGCCAACACAGGTCAGGGGGATCTCTATATTATACACCATGCTCGCCTAGGGGGGGACACAAACTCGCCTCGAAATACATTGCAAGATGGGAGAGGGAGACTGGTACATCACACTGACAGAGCAGGAATATGACAACGTTTTCATACTTACCCATAAATGTTCCATTAGCTCTAAATTTCAGGAAACTAGCTTCAAACTACTTTCCCACTGGTATAGAACTCCCGATGTCCTACACCACATCAACACAGGCATACCAGATGAGTGCTGGAGATGCAGGAATGCAACCCTCTACATTTGGTGGTAATGCTGAGACATAGCACCCTTTTGAATGATGGTAAACACCAAGATCAGGCAAATTACTGACACAGAGTTGCTGCTACAGCCCCTCCCCATGCTCCTACACCACACTAACATGCCCAGGGGAACCTATAAGAAATATTTGCCCAAACACCTGCTGACCGCAGAAAAATCACTGATTCCGACATTATGGACATTATGGGTCGACAGAGTTGGTAAGATTTATACCATGGAAACACTAACGACAGCACTGCACGAATGTTCGGAAAAATGCACCCCGACCTGGGCTCCGTGGTTAATGTTCATCTTGGCAGGCGAGGTGGGACACTAACCCCCCTTCTCCCTGCCCGCCCCCCAGCACCTCGTGCTCACACCTAGTGGGGCATCCCCCCTATACAAACCCCTGCCCATGCTGGGCACAGATACCTAACAGTAACTATTAAAACGGGCCCGGAGAGTGGACATGGGAGTGACGGGTGGTGAAGGATGAGGGGGAAGTTGGATGCACATGGAACGCATTGGTGGTGGGTGGGATCTGCTTCACGATTCTGCCCAGACAACCCAGAGGCCCATAAGACGCAATACTGCATCAGCCATAAACCCCAATACCACATCTCACAGACTCCTAGTTGCATGTCATTACTTTAAACGGTAACCCAGCAATGTCAAACTAGATGCCCGGAGAACAATGGGACAGACCCAGCCAACCCCATGGTACAACACAGAACTATTTCCCGTCAAATGCCACCGCCCTAACAGGAATGGCCATTCCAGGGCCACTCCCCACAAGGGCACTGCACACTATGCCCCACGACACTTTAGCACATAGATTACGTACTCCTTTGAGGAGACCACCAACAGGACAGGAAAAATAGGAGAACATCATACCCTGGCACACTAGAGACATGCTCACGTATAATACCTTGGACGAGCCCCATGGCCATGATTAGTGTTGCTCGCAAATGCCTTATACAAATGAAACGCATAAACTGTGACTTAGTCTTACTTCATTATGGTTCATGTCAGGCCAATAACTTTAACACTGCTTGTTTGAACTTCTGCATATCCCACTGTTACGATACGACAGATTTGCACTCATTATTGTCACTGTAACATATGTGGATGTCAACCCTGTACTACTTCAGTGTACCATACTGATAAATGTTCACTTTTTCTCAAACGACAAAACCAAAAGTAAAGATTCTCATGAAAAAAAAAAAAGAAACTGACGTGGTGCCTAACATAGGGACAGTATGTTAGTGGCATAGCGCAAGGGTGCTATGTATCTAGCCATGCTTAATCCGTACCATTCTACGGACCCTTTACTCTACCATGGACTATTAAGGATAGGGTTAATTGTTGTACCACTAGAAAGCAATGCTCTTCCACTGACCTTGTTATAAGAGCAAAAAAAAAAAAATGTGATATATTTTCAGGCCAGAGAGTTGTAGATATTAATTTCTGGCCTGGTTTTTAAATGTACAAAAAAATGTTTTATGTTTGTACTTCCTATGAAACCACGGAATTTGTGTATTGCTGTAAAGAGAAGAACTATCTTTGTTTAAAGCATAATGCTATGAATCCCACATAACATCAGCAATTTGCCCTTTTATGTCCTCTCCAAATGCTTGTTTCTGACTACTACTGCATGGCGATGGAATGGGGACTCATACCAAACACACAGCGCACTAACAGTGGGTGTTAAAATGATTTTAGAAGTTAAATCCGAAGACACATAGATTATTAGGGTTTTGCTTAAGTTACTCAGCCCTCTCACTATTCAGTGCCGGAATACGAAGACTCAATTCCTATTTGATTAAGTAAATGTTCTCAGATCATCAGATGTGTTCTGTATTTTTTTTAATTTATTTTTTTTACAGACCATAGAAGGAAAACCATTATGAAGGTATCGTATATCTTGTAAGCCTGAGATAGACTTATTAAATGCTTTAAATACTTTGTGTTCTGTAAGAATTAAACAATGTTTTGGCATCGGAATGTGATGTCCATAAATGTGCCAGAGAGGAGCATGGATAAAGACAAATCATTGAAAGATTATTCTCTAAAACCTCTTACCAGGTATACAAATACTATAAATACGATGTAAGTACCATAGAAAGTATTAAAATCCTAACATTTTACCGACCGGAGCACACCATGAAGTTACAGAGTGCTTATACTTCAGTCCATTCTGCATGTAGAAAACATCACTAACCAGAGAATTAAAAACTAGTGTTTTCTATTGAACATTTTCTTTTTTTTTCTTTTTTCTTTTCTTTTTTTTTTTGGAGGGGTATTACTCCATTGAGCCTCTTCTATCCATATGCAGAATAGGCTCTGATGGACAAAGACATTGCTTTGGGAATTTTTAATTTTTATTTTTTTTATACATTTTATATTTTTGTGCAATGTATTATATGCTTTGCTACTGTCGGTCTGACTGTATCATGTTTCTTTTATATTTTTTTATATATGTTTTGTTGTTATACTCACTTTTTGAATATTTTTGAATTTCAAATTTAAGACTAAAAACGTTGAATTTCAAAAAGATTTCCGCTAGCTGCCAGTTCATATATATTCTTATAGGCACCAAAACCACTTTAGCTTAATGAACACATTTTCGTATATAGAAGTTAAATCACTTTGTTTATACAGCTCCATGTGACTTTCACATCCTTCATCCTAAACACTTCTTAAAGAAAACCTAGATATTTTAAAGTCCTTTATTGCACAATTTGTTTAATGTAGAACTTATCTCCCGTTTTTGTTAATTGCCTGCTAGACACTGTCAGAACTTCCTGTGTGTGGTTAAAGTTTTAAAGTTCAATTTACAGAGCAGGAGATAAAAACTTATAAAGCAAGTTAATACCTGATTGAAAATGAAAGCATTTTTTTTCATGCAGGCTGTGTGCAATTCACATGCAGGGAGGTGTGGCTAGGGCTGCATAAACGGAAACATTGATTTAACTCCTAAATGGCAGAGAATTGAGCAGAGAGACATGATCTATACACAAAAACTGCTTTATTAAGCTAAAGTTGTTTTGGTGAGTATTATATCCCTTTAAATTTGAAACTCAAGTCTCACTAGACTGAAGCTCCGTTACCTTCAAATGGTGGTCCTGTGCATAATGGGTATTCTCACCTGCTTCCTGTTCTGTTCCTTGCTAACTGCACATGTGTTGCTAGCCACTGCCATGCAACTTTGCTGTATATGTAAATGTTGCCTGTGTAACTACTACAGTCCCATGTGATCTCCACCAGATCCTGAGTGCATGTGTCCTTGGGTTTTTTGGAGCAGCCAAATGATGTTCTATTAACCACTTGAGGATCGATCCTCAACTGTCATAACTTAAAACGAGCAGCGGGAGCGATCAGAGATCGCTTCCGCCAATATACCGCTGTTACTATCTGCCAGGCATGTAAGGCAGATAGTAACAGCCACTTATTATGTTTGAGCGACACACGATCACTCATTATTGGCTGCTGTCAAATTGGGTGTTACAAACACTCACTTTGACAGTGATCTCTGCCCCTCTCTCCTCTGTAGCGTTTTGAGAGAGAGAGAGAGAGAGAGAGAGAGAGAGAGAGAGACAGAGACAAAGATTGTGATAGTTTGTTGCCAGAAGTGCCATAGCCTTCCATAATTCCTTTTTAACCCCTTCCATGCCAAACCCTGTTACAGCAGTGCATTTGTACTTATTTGCCCTTAAGGGTTATTTTTTGTTAAAAGCTGTGTATTAGGTCATTTTAGTCAGTTTTAGTCATTTTAGCATAGGGATAGGTAGATTTTAAAAAAAAATATGTAAAAGTGTGTGTGTGTTAGTAATTTGTTAGTTTAGACAGTTATATAGGTAGTTAGATAGTGTGTTGGTGAAATATGCAGCATATGTACAGTTTGGAGGAGGCATATGCCTTCTTGGCACCAGACTCTGACGCTACTGACACTGCGTCCGATTTTGACCCAGGTCAGTTTTCTGACACATCTAGAGACAAGTCATCTGTGTGTGAGCCGGCTGCAAAAAGCTGTGCTTCCCCTGTTACTACTAAGCCCAACATCCCCCCTTTTAATGACAGGCATTAATGTCAATGTGCATGACTTCTCCCCTATGCAATATATGGAGTTATTTTTAGGGGATACCATCTGGGAGGAGATTGCTCCCAGACTAATCTATATGCTACCCAATTTATTAATACCAATCCAGATAGCTATGCAGTCAGGGAACGTGCTTGGCATCCCACAGATGTCCCTGAACTGAAAAAATTACTATACTATACTATATGCTCATGGGGATTATAAAGAAGCCATCAATTCATTCTTACTGGAGCATTAACCCTATCTGTTCTAATCCAGTGTACTCCCAAACCATGTTGTGACAAAGTGCCCTTCGCCACTTGCTCCTGGAGAGGCCTGCTTGCCAGCCTCCTCCCCTGTGACTATGACTTTTTGATATATTTGGCTTTAAAGCCCCTATTCTATCTTCAGACAGACTATTTATGTAGGTTGCTTTATTTCTCTTATGTTTTAGTCACCCTGTACCCATTATAGGTGCAGGGTGTGTGTAATGTAATTGTTTATAGTGTGTGTGTGTGTACTGTGTAATGTATTGCCTGCTCTCCTGTACTGCTGAGGTTTGCTACCAACTAGGTGGGTTTGGCTATGGAGCTTGTCTAGTGCCCTCTGTTGGTAGCAACAGCAATATGCACTACCTGAATAGCAAGACTGGTTCATTTGCATATTCGGGTAGATTTGCATATTGCTAATTCTGCAGTCATGTGAGATATTTTCTGTTAAATATGGTCTCCCCCACCCCTTTAAAAATTTGCCATTGTGTTCTGATAAGTCACTGTGTGTTGCCTGCTATGGTTTGACTGTTTGTGATTTTATTGAGTTTTCACAGCAATGTCAATGTGGTGACCCTATGGGCTGGTCCCAAGGGAAATAAAGGTTTAGACAGTTCTTCTTGGTTCCTCTAAATGTAGCCTTGTCTCATTATTGTATGGAGTTGTTTTAATCACACTGGGGATTGCTATGCTCTGCATGCTCCCCTGGTCTTGAATCATATAGCTCTTTTAAGAGTTTGTTCCTGACCTGCTCTCCTTGATGGAGAGGTCTTCACCACACGTCCTGGATCCTGGAGGTTCATACAGGGTGGAAGGAAGAGGTCTTTCCCACATGGTCCTGGAAGACAGAAGCTGATCCAGGGTGGAAGGAAGATGGTGAGACTCCAGTCAAGCTACAGCGGTTGAGGAGTCTGCGGTGGTTGGGGTGTCTGCTGCAGTGCTTGGAGTCCTCAGGAATCGCTAGGAGCATCCTTCAACAGAGATACACAGTCTGGGTGCCAGGTGATCCGTTACACATGTCTAGAGCAAGATATGAGTTGCTGTTCCGCTGTTTACACTTTAATGACAATACCCTCTCTCATCCCAGAGATCACTCCCAATATGATAGGCTTTATAATATACGCCCACTGCTAAACCATCTTCAAAACAAATTTTCAGAAGTTTATACTCTCCAACAAAATACATCAATTGATGAATCCTTAATGAAATGTAAAGGGAGATTAGGATTCAAACAGTACATCCCCTCAAATTGCCCTAGAAATGGCGTAAAATTCTACAAACTTTGCGAAAGTGGCTATACACTTGCCTTTCGCATATATGAGGGGAAAGATTGTTAACTGGACCCTCCTGGCTTTCCTGACTCTCTGGGGACAAGTGAGAAAATTGTTTGGGACCTACTGATCCCCTTGTTCAATAAAGATTACCACCTTTATGTGGACAATTTCTATAGCAGTGTCCGTTTGTTTCAAACACTTTGTAGTTTGCAGACACTGGCCTGTGGTAGTGTGCACAAAAAAAAATGTAAAAGATTTCCCCAGACCTCTCATACAGGCCAAATTAACCCCTTAAGGACACATGACGGAAATATTCCGTCATGATTCCCTTTTATTCCAGAAGTTTGGTTATTAAGGGGGTTAAAAAAAAGGAGAATGCAAAGCTGAAGTGTTAATAATAAAATTTAAGGACACAAAGGATGTTAACATGATCACCATCCACGACGAAATGTCAGACATCACTGTCTGAGGCAGAGTACAGACCAAACCTGTTTGCATCAGGGATTACAACAGGCACATTTGGCTAATCAGCTGATAGAGCCATATCTGATCTTAAAAGACCACTATAGTGCCAGGAAAACATACTCTTTTTCCTGGCACTATAGTGCCCTGAGGGTGCCCCCACCCTCAGGGTCCCCCTCCCGCCCGTCTCTGGGGAGAGGAAGGGGTTAAAATGTACCTTTCTCCAGCGCTGGGCGGGGAGCTCTTATCCTCCTCCTCTCCTCCCATTCGGCTGAATGCGCACGCGCGGCAAGAGCTCCGCGCGCATTCAGCCGGTCTCATAGGAAAGCATTTACAATGCTTTCCTATGGACGCTGGCATCTTCTCACTGTGAAAATCACAGTGAGAATCACGCAAGCGCCTCTAGCGGCTGTCAATGAGACAGCCACTAGAGCCTTTGAGGGCTGGATTAACCCATTTATAAACATAGCAGTTTCTCTTGAGAATGCTTTCCTATGAGACAGGCTGAATGCGCATTCAGCCGGTGATGGCAGAAGGAGGGGATTCCCCAGCGCTGAGGGAGCCTGACGCTGGAAAAAGGTAAGATTTTAGCCCTACCTCACCCTAGAGCCATGAGGGTGGGGGCACCCTCGGCACTATAGTGGCAAGAAAACTAGTGTTTTCCTGGCACTATAGTGGTCCTTTAAGAAAGACAAAAGCCTGGTATAAAAAGGTGGCTATCTATCTTATGCAAGTAACAACGCACAATTCATTTTTACTTTTTTTTTTTTAATGAATCCAGGAAGAACCACCTTTCTCCAATTTCATCTCAAGCTGATATCAACAATAATTTATGAAGATGATCAAGTTCCAACAACAGTGCTAGAGGATTCCAGAGTTGGGGCTACACATTTCATTTTCAAAATACTGCCAATCCCCAGAAACGTTGCAGAGCCTCTTACAAAAAAGGGAAAAGGACAGACACCCCCTTTTACTGTCCCAATAGCCATTCAAAACCTGGACTGTATATTGGAACTTGTTTTAAGCTCTACCACATAGAATATACCTTTTTTATAATACTTGTTCCTCATTTTCTTTACTTTGTGTCTTTTTAAAGCTGCAAATTTTTAGTTGGTCCGTTTTCATCCCCCAAATGTCCAGTTAGTTTAGAGATTGCTGCTAAAGGTGCATTTGATACCTGCACATTTGTTCTTTAAAAAGTTAAGTTTTCTGGCAGTAATATATAATCAGCTGGCTAAAATCAAAAAACAGAATTCAAAAATTACAATCATGCACTTTCTCTGAAATTTTCTTAGCACAATGGTTGGGGGAAGGAAGTTAAAACACAGCATATACAATACCCTGACATGTCTACTTTATAAAAATATATACTTGTATGATGGTAACATTAACTGGGGGATGCAAAAATACACCAAACTGAAGGTAGGCCACGCATACCTATATATCAAGTTGAAAAACTGACATGCAGAAGTCTATATCGTGACCTTTTAGCCTCCTAACAACCCAGCAAACCTATGGATGGATGGTATCACTGTACTCAGGAGATGCTGCTGAACACATATTGCTGTGTTGTTCGGCAGTGACGCATAACAGGATCAGTTAATTCATGCCTAAAGTATAATGTGTGTGGAAGAAATACTACCCAAAAGTTTGACGAAGGCTGAAGGTATAATTAGTGCGTTAAAAGTGTTAAAGTACCACCATTTAAAATACCCTGGGTTGTCTACTCTTCAAAAATATATGGTTTGATGGGGGTAAAATACATTTGCCCATGGGCGTCCGCAGGAATTTTTCCGGGGGGAGGGGGCATTATTTTAATGACATTCATGCTTGGCTCCTTTTTAACAGTCATGAAGGGGCGGGGCATAGTCGTCATCACATAAAGCCAGGGTGACCAGATTTTGAAAATAAAAAACCGGGGCACCCATTAGACAGGGAGGCGAAGCAGGGCGAGCCACGGAGAGATCGACATGACGCTGGAAATAAGATGAGTAAAAACTCATTTTTAACGGGGGGAGGGGGGGAGGGCAAGATACATAATGAGCATTTTCACAACTATGGTGTCAGGAATACATGTTTGTATTCCTGATACTATAGTGTTCCTTTAAGCAAATTAAAGGAACATTCTGGTCACCATAACAACTTTGACTAAATGAAAATGCTATGATACCAGGAATCCCCTGGGCGCTCTCTTTCCTTTAAGTGGTTAAACCGCTCTTAAATGGTTTAACCCCAAAGACTTCCTCCACATCCAGATCTCCAGGTCGCTCAGTGGTATTCGGCTTCTGAAACGGAGTGTCAGGAAGGGCAGATTGACGTCAGGCATGGCTGCCGCTGATTGGCTAGAGTGGTCAAGGGGGGCTACTTTCTGCTTCTTTTGCTCCATTCTGCTCCTTTCTCTTTCTGATCCATTTCTGCTACTTTCGCTCCTTTCTACTCCTTCTGACCCTTTCTGCTCTTTGCAGACCTTTCCTGCTCATTTCTGTTCCTTTTTGCTCCTTCTCCTACTTTACCTATGTGCTCCTTCTGCCCCTTCCAGCTCCTTGCTGTCCCTTCCTGCTCCTTCTCCTACTTTACCTTTGCGCTCCTTTTGATTCTTTCTGCTCCTTTACCTTTGTGCTCCTTCTGTCCCTTCCTGCTCCTTGCTGCCTCTTTCTGCTCCTTCTCCTACTTTACCTTTGTACTCCTTCTGATTCTTCCTGCTCCTTTACCTTTTTAGCTCCTTGATGTCCCTTCCTGCTCATTTCTGTTCATTCTCCTTTTTGCTCCGTCTCCTACTTTACCTTTGTGCTCCTTGCTGACCCTTCCTGTAGGCTGCCCCACATGCCTTACCTGATCTGTAGGCTGTTTCTCCCCCCCCCCCCCCCATGCAACACTTGCCTAACCTGTAGGCTGCCCCCCCCCCCATGCCTCACTTACCTAACCGATAGGCCGCCCCCATGCCTTACCTGACATGTGGCTGTCTCCCCATGCCTCACCTACCTAACCTGTAGGTTGCCCCATGCCTTACTTACCAGTTCTGTTGGCTGCCCCCCCCCATGCCTCACTTACCAGATCTGTAGGCTGTCTCCCCCCATGCCTCACCTGATCTATAGGCTGCCCCCCATGCCCCACTTACCTGATCTGTAGGCCGTCTTTCCCATGCCTCTTACCTGATCTGTAGGCTCTCTCCCCATGCCTCTTACCTGATCTGTAGGCTGCCCCCCTGCCTCACTTACCCCCCCATGGTGCTCCACCTTGCCCTCCCCTGCGGACCTCCATGCATTGTCCCACTTCAAAAATGTCACAAATGGGACATGGACGCAGGTTGACTACATGTCAATATTCCAAGTTAAAAAAAGGATATGCACACCTGCCAAATGTGGCCTTTTAGCCCCCAAACAACCCGACAAACCTACGCATGCGTGGTATCACTGTACTCAGGAAATGCTGCTGAACACATATTGGGGTGTTGTTTGGCAGTGACACATAAGAGGATCTGTTAATTCATGCCTAAAGTATAATGTGTGTGGGAAAAAAAAAAAAAAAACACAAAAAATTACTACCCAAAGGTTTGTCAAAGGCTGGTGGTAAATTCAGTGCATGAAAAGTGTTAAAATACCAGCATTTAAAATACCCTGGATTGTCTACTTTTCAAAAATATAGGGTTTGATCGGGGTAAAATACATTGGCCTGCTTCAAAAATGTCCCAAATAAGACATGTGCGCAGATTGACTACATGTCAAAATTCCAAGTTGGAAAACTGATATACGCACCTGCCAAATGTGGCCTTTTAGCCCCCAAACAACCCAACATACCTATGCATGGGTGGTATCGCTGTACTCAAGAGATGTTGCTGGACACATATTGGAGTGTTGTTTGGCAGTGACACATAAGAGGATCTGTTAATTTATACCTGAATTGCTATGTATGTGGAAAAAAAACTTTGAAATTATCCATGCGAAGTTTGGCGGTAAAATGGCTGCATAGAAAGTGTCTTCTTCTTGTGTTTTCTCTCTCTTTGGGGGGTGCAAAGCTGTATATATGTGTGTGTATATGTGTATGTATGTGTGTATATATATATATATATATATATATATATATATAATTTTCTCTGGGTATTTGTGCTAAAAAGGCTTATTTTCTCGTTTATGGAGCTGGAGCACCACACTTGCACGTCTGTCCAGGCGCTTGTTGTTTTCAAAAGTCGCCTTAACGTTTGGAGTTATATTTTCTTAATGCTACGTGAAACTGTGAATGTGATATTATGGGCAGTCTGGGGCTGCTAGTATATACTTCTTGTCCTTATTCTCTAAACATTTCAGACCCTCATATTATTTCCTATTCACTTCTTTCATAACTAACAAGCCTACTTACTAAAGTAAGAATCCAAAGTAAATTCAAAGTGGATTTCAAATTTAAGGTCAAAATAGACAAACTGGAACAATTCTTCTAACTCAGCTATGCTTTCAGTTTGACTGCTCTGGCCTTAAATTATAAATTCACTTTGACTTTTCACGTTAGTAAATAACCTTGTTGTTGATCGTATACAATGTAATAAATAAGAGTCACAGTTGTATGTACATGTGGAGTGTGATCCAGAGAGTTATGACCGATAACAGTATTACAATGTCACTATTGATCAATTTGAAAAAACAGTATATAATTGTACTAATTTTTTTATATAATCTGTATGGGAACAGTAAAAGAGAGAGAGGAAAATTACAGCTAAACACAAACACCACAAAAGTGTAAAAACAGCTCTGGTCCTTAATGTACAACATGGCCAAAACAGTCCAGCCTTTAAGGGGTTAAATTAATATTTAAAGTCCATGAAGAGTTTGTTTTTATTACTTATTGCATACGTAAGTTTATTACTATTAATTACTTATGCAGTTCTTGGTAGCCCTAAGCCTGTCCCTGAATACTCAGTGAATTATTGAATCTGACTCGGCTTTGTTTTCTTAGCAACTTTTCTGGAATGTGGGTTATGTATAAAAAGTGTTGTGTCCACTTTTTAGGAAGTTTATCTGGCCTATTTATTCCCTTATTTATGTTAAAATATTCCTTTCTACGTATCGTCCATAATTTTATTTTCAGGTACCATTCTGGTTCTTTTTTTTTTTGTTCTGGTTGACAAATTTGCTCTTTTAATGTTTAAAAAAAGTGGCACAAAAATTTTAATTTTTATTCTCAACATTTTCCACCACTGTCACACTGGTGGATTTTCTGAGACAGCAAGTGGCTTTCAAAGTTTTCATTTTAAGGAATATTAAAATCTGCAAGCAATGATAAAGTAATAGGGGGGAAAAGGTGTCAAAAAATGATTATTTTGGTGCACTAGAAAAAGAAAAATCAGTTTACTAATGTATAAAGATAGAGTCATGGCCAGTTCAAGACATTGTGCTGCCTGGGTCGAAGATGAAAAGCTGTCAGTGCGTGTGCTGAGGATGCAGCATGTATCTGTGCGTGCTGGTGATGCAGCGTGTATCTGTGCGTGCTGGGGATGCAGCGTGTATCTGTGCGTGCTGGGGATGCAGCGTGTATCTGTGCGTGCTGAGGATGCAGCGTGTATCTGTGCGTGCTGAGGATGCAGCGTGTATCTGTGCGTGCTGAGGATGCCGCGTGTATCTGTATGTGCTGAGGATGCCGCGTGTATCTGTGCGTGTGCTGGTGATGCAGCGTGTATCAGTGCGTGCTGGGGATGCAGCGTGTATCTCTGTGTGCTGGGGATGCAGCGTGTATCTCTGTGTGCTGGGGATGCAGCGTGTATCTCTGTGCTGCGGATGCAGCGTGTATCTGTGTGTGCTGCGGATGCAGCGTGTATCTGTGTGTGCTGGGGATGCAGCGTGTATCTGTGTGTGCTGGGGATGCAGCGTGTATCTGTGCGTGCTGGGGATGCAGCGTGTGTCTCTGTGCTGGGGATGCAGCGTGTGTCTCTGTGCTGGGGATGCAGCGTGTGTCTCTGTGCTGGGGATGCAGCGTGTGTCTCTGTGCTGGGGATGCAGCGTGTGTCTCTGTGCTGGGGATGCAGCGTGTGTCTCTGTGCTGGGGATGCAGCGTGTGTCTGTTCGTGTACTGGGGGTGCAGTGTGTTTGTGTGTATGTTGCATTATCCACTACTATACATTGCACCAAGTTAAAGCCTTAAACTGATGTATTAACATGTAGGCAATGAGACAACAGCTATGCACATGAAACCCTGCAAGGAATGAACATGCTTTTAAGGTGTTTTATTATTTTCTTTTTCTCAATTACCTAATTAATGTTTTAACACAATAACTTTGATTTGATAGTTGTTGTTGTTTTTCCCTAGGTTTGGCAAATTCCAGATTATACACCAGTGCGATCAATAACAGAACCTATTGTGACCCTGGAAGGTCACTCCAAGAGAGTTGGTATAATCACATGGCATCCTTCCGCTCGCAATATATTACTCAGTGCAGGTAATAATCTACTGCAGAATATTTTCTGAGCATAGATCGAAGTAACCACGGGTGTAATGTGACTCCATATTTGTAAGCATCAAATTCCTATACCATCTGCCATATTGTAAAGTAGTTTGTGATGGCCACAGAAATTACCAACAATCCACTATTAAACAACAGCATTTATACTAATCCATATTCTCTAGTATTGTTGGTGCACAGTGTCAAAAAGTAGATATTCCTGAAAAAATTTCTGCATTTGCTACTGTCCTATTTGTGGCCTTTATAGTGACGGCTGTCATTTGAATTAAATAAGGTACTATACACTAAAACTGGAATTATAGAGAACAGACAAAGTATAGTATACATTTTAGGCCTGTATAATTGACCTAGCTAATTACCTGACTTTCAATTCAGCTATTTTGAACTCAAAATGATGATAGTTTCACCATTCTCCACAATTCCTGTTTTTTTTTTTTATTGTTGAAGCAACACTTTGTGATTAATTATTAGGAACTGAGAATGTTTTCCTAATCATATAACCATTTAAACGTTTCTTTAGAAGAATATTTATTGCAAGTAAATTAAGTGATATAACACTGGAGGCCCTGACGCATTTTGTAGGTTTTGGCCTTATCTCATATTTGTGCTATATTTTTGGTCACATTTAAAGCTTAGTTTTCGGGAATTTTTTTTTTTTTTTCTGCATTCTGTTGGATACTCTACCACCATAGCCACTTCCTCCCTGTTTCACAAAAGTTTTCCTGATTGCAAAGTAAACAATGCAGCTATAAGAGATCCATTTGAGCTGAGCTGCTGACTAAACGCTGACTTAACACAGCCAACCACGGTCCTATAAACACCAGTATAGTATATCAAAGCTGTGCTACATGTAGAGAAAAATCCATTATCAATATAAGGCCCAAGCTAATCAATTGTGCTGAAGTTGTGTTAGTACCTTGAGTCTCCTTTTAATGATTCTGTTTACTGAAGGTTGGAATAATATTATGCATGTTAATTGTGATATTTTTCCATTTTACAAAAATGCTTAACCGTTTCATGTTTCATTATTTTTATGCTTCAGCTTTATTTATTTTTTTCATATATCACCATTGATTTATAATAAGTGCTATATAAACTCTTGCGCAATCTGTTTAGCAGTGCATCAACGCATTAAAGGAAAACTGTTCCAAACACAGCCAAATAGTAGCTCTAGTGATGAATTATTACTGAATATGATCATATATGGTAAACAAAGCATTCGGAAACCAGACTTTAGCTAAAAATGTTCTTTGTTATAATGTATCTAATTTGCATATGATAAACAACTTTAATATAAAAACAATAATCTAAGCTTACTGCTTGCATTTGAATCTGTGGTTGAGAATGGGAATGTTCTTTGGAACCAGTGGAATCACTATAGTGTGTAGGGTTCTTGAATGTATTGGGGGGGGAAAAAATCATAAGATGACTCTCAAAGAATTGTTTTATTTATTTATTTATTTTTTTTATACCCTTTCTAAACTTGCTGTTAGGTAGTGATAATGCAATAATTATCTGGAATGTCGGAACAGGCGAGGCTTTAATTTCCCTTGATGAACTACATACTGACCTCATTTACAATATCTGCTGGAACTATGATGGAAGCCTCATCACAACTACCTGCAAGGATAAGAAAGTCCGGGTCATTGACCCACGCAAGAATGAGATTGTGGCTGTAAGTGTCTGGCTGTCCTTCTACCTTGCTATCCTTTTATGGTCCTCCTTTTCTCTTTAAAGTGGATGTGTCTTGTTATTATTTTCTAGTGTAATACAATTCTTTATCAAAACTTAGATTTTCAGATGAAGCGGTTTTGGTGCCTAGAGTGTCCCTTTTAGGAACACAGATTGATTGTATTGGAATTTTACTGAAATTCCAACCCAGTCAAAAGACATACTGAGACACAAAGTAGGGCTTACTTTGTCTCTGTGTTTTTCCTCCGCTTGACAGAAAGGCGGAGCTACCGCCGTCAAGCTTGTCATTTCTCCCAGCCATCACCAGTGACTGCTGTATGGGAAAAAAACCTCTTTCTATGTAGGATCCCGTGTTTTCGATGGATCCTCCATAGATTTCCATGCTGTACTATCACTCTTCGGCAAGAGTACAACGCTAGCAGCGGCTCCTGGAGCTAAAATGCCAGGAGCTGAAGAAGAGCAGATGAAAGAGGATGGCAGCACCCACATGGGACAGATTCAGGTAAGTAAATATCACCTCTCCTGGCCCCGCAATAGGCATAGGGACCTCCATTGGCAATGTCCCTGTTGGGGGACTCTGCAAATTATGCAAAAACCCCAGACAGTGACAGGGCAACTTTAAAGGACCACTATAGTGCCAGGAAAACATAATCGTTTTCCTGGCACTATAGTGCCTTGAGGGTGCCCCCACCCTCAGGGTCCCCCTTCTGCCGGGCTCTGGGGAGAGGAAGGGGTTAAAATCTTACCTTTCTCCAACGCCGGGCAGGGAGCTCTCCTCCTTTCTCTGAAACTGCTATGTTTATAAAAAAAAGGGGTTAATCCTAGATGGACCTGGCACCCAGACCACTTCATTAAGCTGAAGTGGTCTGGGTGCCTATAGTGGTCCTTTAAACATTATTACACATTGTGTACGTTCTCACAGCAGAGCCCTGAGGCCTTAATTTTTTGAAGGTCACTGGAACAAATATTGGCAAGTAAGCTAGGTAATAATCGTACAGCACTGGTTCTCCAGAATATATTCTAAAACCAGCAAAATATGATATTTTGGAGAAACCGTTATATTTTTGATAAAGAATTGTATTATCGTAATAAAAAAAAAGTCAGAATCTTGTTTTATGTTTAAAAAAAAAAAAAATAAGATTAAATATAGAGTCAAACGCTGTAACAGATATAATCCACAACTAATTAACTTTTCTTTCAAATAGATTTTTGCATAAACCCCCATACAGCTATGCTTAACGAATCAAATGCCTGTTTGTTCAGCAAATCACAAACAAACCAGTTCATTCATCCAGCAATAAACTAGCGTTTGATTTTTTTTTTTCAGCACAGCTGTACGGAATTTCTGTACAAGTCTAGGCTCAATTGGAGGATTAATGTGATTTTCTAGCACAAGGGGGCACCCTAATATTGCAGCAATCTTGTACTAGATTAGAAACTGCTTGTTTGCCCTCACCCTCCCCCCCTTTTTTTTCTTGTAATTTTTGTTATTGTTTTGTAAAAATTTCCAAAAATCTTTAATACAAAATATTTAAAAAGAAACTGCCTGTTTGCTAGTGCAGCGGAAGATTTAACAATATGGTGCTAGTAATACAAAATATATATATATATATATATATATATATATATGTCAATATTACTATTGATAGATATCCAATTTCCCCAATATTCCTAGTTTGGCCATATGTGAATTTTTTTTTTTTATTGTGTCCTATTCATCACCATTCAGTAAAAAAAAAAAAAAACAGGGTTATTCATTAAACTATGAAATATCAGAAATTAAAAGTGAAAGTGAATTCCAAATTGTAGGCCAAATAGTGAACTGGAAAAAGTCTCTGGCCTAAAATATTTTATTTTTACACTTATTCATATAATTTGGTATGCAAAACCTCATTGTTAAATCTATCCCGTTTATTTTAACTGTATTCTCTTTACCTCTCTGTCCCCACCTCTTCCATCCCTGTGATGGCTTGATTTGCACATTCTTGTTGTAATTTATTAGATGTCTAGAATGTGAGTGTTGTTATGAGGTACATATATAACTGGTCTGCAAAGATTACAGGGGTTATACATGCAATGACAGTCACAATGCACCTTTGTTTAAATATTTTCTGCAAACTATCTACACAGTCAATTAATAATTAAGTACAATATTGATACTGTGCTTTAATGTAGTGAATGCTAATAATGGGCATGGCACTGTACGTTTCCCTAATATACTGACTGCTAAGAGTGAGGCTACTGCTGGGCTTTCCTTTAATATAGTGACCGCTAAGAATGAGCCTGGCACTGTGCTTTCCTTTAATACAGTGAGCCTGGCACTGTGCTTTCCTTTAATATAGTGACCGCTAAGAGTGAGCCTGGCACTGTGCTTTCCTTTAATATAGTGACTGCTAAGAGTGAGCCTGGCACTGTGCTTTCCTTTAATATAGTGGCTGCCAATAGTGAGCCTGGCACTGTGCTTTCCTTTAATATAGTGACTGCTAAGAATGAGCCTGGCACTGTGCTTTCCTTTAATATAGTGACCGCTAAGAGTGAGCCTGACACTGTGCTTGCCTTTAATACAGTGACTGCTAAGAGTGAGCCTGGCACTGTGCTTTCCTTTAATATAGTGACTGCCAAGAGTGAGCCTGGCACTGTGCTCTCCTTTAATATAGTGACTGCTAAGAGTGAGCCTGGCACTGTGCTTTCCTTTAATATAGTGAGCCTGGCACTGTGCTTTCTTTTAATATAGTGACCGCTAAGAGTGAGCCTGGCACTGTGCTTTCCTTTAATATAGTGACTGCCAATAGTGAGCCTGGCACTGTGCTTTCCTTTAATATAGTGGCTGCCAATAGTGAGTCTGGCACTGTGCTTTCCTTTAATATAGTGGCTGCCAATAGTGAGCCTGGCACTGTGCTTTCCTTTAATATAGTGACTGCTAAGAATGAGCCTGGCACTGTGCTTTCCTTTAATATAGTGACTGCTAAGAATGAGCCTGGCACTGTGCTTTCCTTTAATATAGTGACTGCTAAGAGTGAGCCTGGCACTGTGCTTTCCTTTAATATAGTGACTGCTAAGAATGAGCCTGGCACTGTGCTTTACTTTAATATAGTGACCGCTAAGAGTGAGCCTGGCACTGTGCTTTCCTTTAATATAGTGACTGCCAATAGTGAGACTGGCACTGTGCTTTCCTTTAATATAGTGACTGCTAAGAATGAGCCTGGCACTGTGCTTTCCTTTAATATAGTGAGCCTGGCACTGCGCTTTCCTTTAATATAGTGACTGCCAATAGTGAGCCTGGCACTGTGCTTTCCTTTAATATAGTGACCGCTAAGAATGAGCCTGGCACTGTGCTTTCCTTTAATATAGTGACTGCTAAGAGTGAGCCTGGCACTGTGCTTTCCTTTAATATAGTGACCGCTAAGAGTGAGCCTGGCACTGTGCTTTCCTTTAATATAGTGACCGCTAAGAATGAGCCTTGCACTGTGCTTTCCTTTAATATAGTGACTGCTAAGAGTGAGCCTGGCACTGTGCTTTCCTTTAATATAGTGACCGCAAGAATGAGCCTGGCACTGTGCTTTCCTTTAATATAGTGAGCCTGGCACTGCGCTTTCCTTTAATATAGTGACTGCCAATAGTGAGACTGGCACTGTGCTTTCCTTTAATATAGTGACTGCTAAGAATGAGCCTGGCACTGTGCTTTCCTTTAATATAGTGAGCCTGGCACTGCGCTTTCCTTTAATATAGTGACTGCCAATAGTGAGCCTGGCACTGTGCTTTCCTTTAATATAGTGACCGCTAAGAATGAGCCTGGCACTGTGCTTTCCTTTAATATAGTGACTGCTAAGAGTGAGCCTGGCACTGTGCTTTCCTTTAATATAGTGACCGCTAAGAGTGAGCCTGGCACTGTGCTTTCCTTTAATATAGTGACCGCTAAGAATGAGCCTGGCACTGTGCTTTCCTTTAATATAGTGACTGCTAAGAGTGAGCCTGGCACTGTGCTTTCCTTTAATATAGTGACCGCCAAGAATGAGCCTGGCACTGTGCTTTCCTTTAATATAGTGAGCCCGGCACTGCGCTTTCCTTTAATATAGTGACTGCCAATAGTGAGCCTGGCACTGTGCTTTCCTTTAATATAGTGACCGCTAAGAATGAGCCTGGCACTGTGCTTTCCTTTAATATAGTGACCGCTAAGAGTGAGCCTGGCACTGTGCTTTCCTTTAATATAGTGACTGCCAATAGTGAGCCTGGCACTGTGCTTTCCTTTAATATAGTGACTGCCAATAGTGAGACTGGAACTGCAATAACGCCCTTTACACAAGCGCCCCCTCCATAAACAAAAAACATATTCAGATACAAACAGTGACACAAACGGATACACAGGGGCTCACAATAACACACATGCAGATCCAAATGCAGACACACATAGATACTTATACACATACAGACACACATATAGGTACACATGCAAACATACATGTACATATAGACACACATGCAAAAATACAGACACACATTCACATACAGGCACACATAAGAGCTTAAGGATTCCCTAATATCTAACAGAGAGAGGTTCATGTCACCATGTAGAAGATTGAAACACCAACCATTGGTCTAAACGGTGCACTGTGCTGTCTTCGTCTATAATTCATGTGCTGTGTTATTGCTGTGTCAATTGCATGCTTACATTTGAAAGTGATAAAAGTATTAGAAACTTGGAATTAAGGGGGCAGGGACATAATTAAGGCCAGGTACCATTTAGTAGTTAAAAGAAAAAAGTGACACAATTGCTGTGGATCAGTTAAGATACAAGCTTTAATCACGCCACAGTTTTGTCCACTGCAGTGTGGTTGTTTGATAGTTGTGATACAGAATTGTGAACGCCTGGCTCGTAAGAAACCTCAACATTTATTAAAGGGACATTCAAAGCACCAAAACAACTTTAGCTTAATGAAACCGTTTTGGTGTATAGATCATGCCCCTGCAATGTCAATGTTCAGTTATTTGCCATTTAAGAGTTAAATCACTTTGTTTCTGTTTATGTAGCCCTAATAACACTTTCCCTGCCTGTGACTCACACAGTCTCCATGGAAAAATGGTTTAGTTTTCTTTCAGATTTTATGGCACAGAGTGTTTACTTTAGAAGTTCTTATCTCTCAATTGTTAATGTAATGAACTTTATTCACGCACGTGAGACTGTTGCAGGCATGTTAACAGAGCAGTAAGTATGAAATTCTAAATGAAACCCACTGTGCATTAAGGGATTTTTTAAAAAACAGGTCTCTCTGAACAGTAAGTGTTTAGATAGGCTGTAGTCACAACGAGGTGAGATCTGACTAGGGCTGCAAAAAAACAAAGCGATTTACAGCAGCTCTGACACCTTCAAGGGCTTTTGCATATTCAAATCCTCGGACAGTGACTGGGTGACGCGGGGTGCAGTGGAAGAATGAGTTTTACTTATCCGCCACAAGTCTTCCCGCTGGTCCTCTTCAGCTCCTGGTGCCTTATCTGCCAGGAGCCCATGTCAGTACTGTACTCTCGAGCATGCACAAGAGTACAACACTGAGAGATCTATGGAGGATCCTGTGAGACTGCCTAGAGTGTTCCATCTTGTTGTAGTGTTGCTTATTGTATCAGGGGTGTGAATCACTGACTAGCCTGACACTAACCAGCATGTCTGTTGTTTTCACTTGCTGTGATCGACTTAACCTGCTAATCAAACAATATAGGAGAAAAGTGGGGCACATGAAGGGGCCCGGCCAATCAAATCCATCTTTTTGTCGGATGGCAAAATATTCACCACTGGCTTCAGCAAGATGAGCGAACGACAGTTGGCACTGTGGGATCCGGTATGAGAAGGTGTTCTGCATGTTTTATTTATTCTACATATCTTTAAATTTACTGTTTTGTTAGCTGCACAAGCTTTGCAGAGTTCCAATGGTGGCAAGACCGAGGACTCTCTACACCTGCCTTTGGGGAGTCAGAAAGAGCTCAATTCATTGAATGATGCAGATAATCTCCTATAATATTTGCCCAGTATTTAGGTTAATTTTTTAATATATACCGGTGTGTATATATAGTAATGATTCCAGAGAGTAAGCAGTAACTGTGATCCTGAACCTTTAGATTTACAACTTTTAATATTGTTTTATTTGAGCCAGATGAGAGATGTGACATCACCCAAATTGTAGTGTTGAAAGAACATCCCTTGTTGTAGGATTTCAATATTCAGATAATATTTGTTATTGTGCAAAAACTATATATAACCTGGTTAAGAACTATTCCTGACCATGTTTCTAATATAGCTCTACAAGAGCACGGGGAGGTGGTCAAAACTATGTAAGCTATTGGTTGAGTCATCTCTGCTCAATTCAGGCACCTTTAAAAGTCCTGTTGATGATGAGCCAGGATTGGCATGTGCTAGCTTAGCATACTTTCATTACACTGGTTGGTTCTGTAACTAGAATGAAATGTTCCTAAATCTTACTTTTAAGAAAACTTTTTTTTAGGATTATTTTCCATTCAGAATGACTTAAACACTGCCTTTTCTGCCACTCTCCACAAGCATATAGTTCCTGTAAGATTACATTATTTGGCTGTCTAAACGGGGGCCCTGGCCAGTACTGAATGCCTCTTTATTTCTTTAATGTTGCTAATACTCTCTGGCATTGTTCAAAGGTCAGCTGCACAGACAGCAGCCCACACTATATTTTCAGATCTATATCTCATCCCTTAAAGACTTATTGACAGGCCTTTCCGATCTCCCCATCCAGGGTCACCTTGGTATCCATAGCTGCAAAGGTTTGTGAGCCAGTAACACCCTGTGCTGCTTGTTCTGCCAGGACAAGCGGCTTTTGTGATTATAATCCTGTTATGACGAGTTTGTTTTCCACCTCCCAACCCTCACAGGAGAAATGTACCCCCCATGAGGGGATGAGACCCATGCGCGCGATCTTTACCAGAGATGGAAACATCTTTACTACTGGTTTTACACGGATGAGTCAGAGAGAGTTGGGCTTATGGGACCCGGTAATGGTATACGTAAATAGTCCTGGCAAATTGTTAATTATTGTCACTGTTTCCACAACACACGACACTTGGAAATATCATTGCGAAAGAATTCTCATATCAAGATGCAGGTGAAAAATAGCTAAATAAGCACACGTAGTATGAAAACAATAAATCGTGCCAAATATTGATTATATACAGAGCCTGTTAATTAAGTATGCTAATATATGAATAGTTTCATGCCAACATAATGGGGGTTCAGAATCTTTGTGCACCTCTTCGTAGTTAGTCTACAGTAATTCACATGCACAGCTTGCCGTAGACTAGCTAAACATGTTAAGAGTTTTAGTTCATTAAGATAATTATAACTTACAGGGTTGTTTAGAAAAGTGAGAAATGTTGGGAATTCAAAGTGAACTTCAAATTTAAGGCCAAAGTAGGTAAATTAGAAACATTCTACAATCCAGCTATGCTCCCAATTCATCTATTTTGACTTGAATGCTGTAATTCACTTTGAAGTCCCAACAATTCTCACTTTAGTGAATAACCGTTATTGTTTGTTTCTTCAGATAGAGCATAATAGTTTTATTATACACACTGTGTATCAACAGTAAACTTGTGCAAAAATGTGTTTGAGCGGGTTCATCTGAACCAAATTCCTTTTAATTCACACAATAACACATTTATTAATCCGGAACTTACCTGTAGGGTCTTATTCATTGTAAAATATTCCACAGGTAAATCCTAGGCAAAGTGATTCATTCAGATGTCCATTAAAAGTAATTTGATTCGGACGAACCATGTTTGTTCCACTTTGGCATCTCAATTATTGGTAAACCTTGGTGTAGTACTTCATAACCTTACAGATGTTCGTGAACTATATTTCCATTTTGGCTGACTGAACGTCAAGGAGAATGCAGTTCAGACACACCTGGAATTAGGAAGACTAGTCAATACACCTGGAGAAATTAGAAATCTAGAAACTCATTCGCTATTGTGTTTACAGTGACAATAATCGCACATTTCCAGGGCCCGGAATGCAGTGTTTCAGCATGGAGTGTATAGACCATGAAAAGAGTGCTAGCTCTGTGTCTTCTCCTGACTATAGTTCTCAGTGTTATCTTACCAGTGTGGAGTGATATATTTGGAGTGGTATAGTTGGCTTACATAAACTAGAAGAGTAATGTTATTCCACTCCTTTTTTGATGTGTAGATTATTAGTTATGCATGATGGGAGAGCTATAGTAACCAATTAAAATGACTGTATGCACAAACAGTAATGTTGGCATATACTCTACTAAAATAAGTTTGTGCAAAAGAATAAAACTATTTGAAATCACAAATAATTTAATCATGGTGTCTGTTCCACCTTTATAATGATGAGCGATCCATGTTACATTCAAAGGAATAGGCTTAGGGGCCACATTCTGTAATATAACGATCATGTATTCCTCTAATTGGCAATTATGTAATATTATTGAACTGTGAGCCACAGAATTACCCTGTGAAAACAGGAGGGCATGTTCTATAAATTTCAGCCATGGTAAAAAAATTAGATTGCCTTGTATAGTATGAAAAATCACCTATTCAGTGAATTCTTTGTGGTCCATAGCCATCTAGCATTTGACCAAACGTAGCAAGTAAGCAAACGTAAATAAAGTATAAATTAAAAAAATGAACACAGAATTGGTGGCATTGGCATTTACCTATGGCTTTAAAAGCTAGCTGAGCACGATGAATAGTATATATTATTTGGCCTTGTATGAAGTGCATTAATGCAATAGTCCAGGTCTCTTAATGTTCTAAATAATAAACAGAAGAGAAATGCCACAATATATTCTACTTTTAGTCCATTCTATATATTAAGTGAGCACTACTCACTAAATAGTTAGCACAGCTCAGTGAAAAGTTTTCAAAAGAGGGCACATTCTGTACAGCTTTAGTTAATAGATGGTTCCCTACATATATTGGAACTGGTCTCGTGTAGTTAGTCTTTTGGTTTTTGGACTGTTATCCTTACTGATTACTTAAAACAATAGTTTTTCTTTTTTATCTATATCTCTTTTTAAAAGTAGAGTTTAATGTGTTGAAAAATGACTTTCTATAAACCTGTGTGTCGAGTTTCACTAACTTTTGAACTACTAATAATTGGTTAGAAAATGGCATATTCTAAACAATTTTCCCGTCTATCGGCATGTAGAGTAACTTTGATGAACCCATCGCCTTACAAGAGATGGACACCAGTAATGGAGTTCTCCTTCCTTTCTATGATCCAGACTCCAGCATTGTTTACCTCTGTGGAAAGGTAACTCTGTGATCCTGTGTTATAGATCATGTTTAATGTCTGCATTTAGAGAATTATTTGTCAAGACCAGAGGATGAGAGGGAAATGATTGCTTGCCCTACAATGAGAGATACTCAGATGAAAATCATGACAATAAGGTATTCTGAAATGTCTCTAGTGAGTAAAACACGTGCCTGCTCCTCATTCGAGTCTCCTACCCCTGCTTAAAATAAAACCTGAGTATTTATAAAGGTCATTTAGTACATACTTTGCCTTTTAGTCTTGATAATATTTTATTTAAGAATTGTGACAGTGTTTGTTTTGTGGAAATTTCTGTTGCTTACACGTCTTAAAACACTGTGAGGCAACAGATATCCAGGAATATCTCATGAGTCATTATGGTAAAATTGCCAAGAGTTTTAACCTATCTCAGCATAATCCGGCTTTATAATTTTAAAATGACTTTGCTCTATCCAATGTTCATCTCATGTCTCCTTAGTTTAACAGTCTAAATACACTGATAACAAAAAAGGTACTCGGCACTCTGGTAGATATGCAATTAGACTTTATTCACTGGTCTAAAGTAAAGATAACGTTTCAATCCCCCTGGGACTTTTCAAACCTCTTGCTGTTGATTAAGGAAGACTAATTGCACATCTACAGGAGTGTGTTGAGTACTGGTATGGTGGCATTTGATTTTCTTATTTTTTTAAATTTATTTTCTTACACAAGCTGAAGGTGTACAAGTCCTGTCTGATTTACCATACAATCTGCATGTTGTGTACATATAAATTCCTAAAATAACAATGAAAAAGTTAGCACTTGATAAATAACTAGTGAATAATTATTCCCATTTGGTTTCTGTAAACATATTTTCTTTTGTTGGAGGAGACCTAAATAATCAGGAACTTGATTTACCCTGTATATACATGTATCCATAGCTATCTTTCTTTTTACAAATAAATGACAAACAGATCATTGATATCATAGTACAATTCTCACATTTACCAACTGATGTTAATTGTTGCACACATTTTACTTATGCTCATACTTGTGTGTCTATATATACTACACATTTATTGCAAAAAAATTTGATATTTGTTTTTATTACTAATATTTTTGACCTATTTTTGGAAGCCTGGTGAAAATACACATTATTTGGCTGTAGATGAACTACTTTAATAATAAAGCAGTTAAAGGGATACTATAGTCACCAGAACAACTACAGCTTAATGTTGGTGTTATGGTGTCTATAGCTTGTCCCTGCAGACTTTTTGCTGTTTTCAGAGAAAATGCATTGTTCACATTGCTGCCTATGGACATCTCCAGTGGCAGTCAAACGGCCGCTGTGGGGGCTTCCTAGGTCAGTGCGTTCAGCGTCTTCATGGAGGCACGGAACCTTCCTCGTAGAAACGAATTGATTTAATGCATCTCTATAAGGAGATGCTGATTGGTAAGCAAGGTATCTGACTCTGCCCCCTGGCCCACTTCCTTGGCTGAAATCATCAGAATTGACAATCTCGCCAATCCAATGCTTTCCCAAAGGAAAATAATTGGATTGACTGAGATTGTCAATTCTGGTGATCTCAGCCAAGGAGGCAGAACAGGGGTGCTGGCAGACCCATGCAGCGCTAAATAAATGTAAGATTTATCCCTATTTAAGGGCAAGGGGGGAAGGCGGACACGTAAACAGTGTGTTCAACATTAGAAGGTCATGAATACACATTTGTATTCCTGAACTTAGAGTGTTCCTTTAACTTTCTCCAAAGAATGCTGCAGCAATGATGTTCTTTTCATGTTACAGGGTGACAGCAGTATCCGTTACTTTGAGATAACAGACGAGGCACCTTATGTCCATTACTTGAATACCTTCAGCAGCAAAGAACCACAAAGAGGAATGGGCTTCATGCCTAAAAGAGGTCTGGATGTCAGTAAATGTGAAATAGCCAGGTAAGCCAGGCATATCATATACCAGGGATAGGCAACCTTTGGCACTCCAGAAGTTGTGTACTACATCCCCCATAATGCTCTTACACCCATAATGCTGGCAAAGGATCATGGGAGGTGTAGTCCAAAACTTTTGGAGTGCTGAAGGTTGCCTATGCCTGTCATAGACTATGATTAAGGTACATTATATTTGGCTATATAAAGTGTTTTATTTGTGATTTTCTGTTGCTTGGTAAGATTCTTTTTCTTTAAATTAGAGTAAGAAAATTAGAGGGTAAAGCACCTATTATATGAGAAACCGTTCCTACCTATCCTACATGAGCGAGTTTAGGGAGAAAATTTTGGGGAAGTTTAATTTTTAAACAGACAGGGCTATTCAGTAAAGTGAAAATTGCAGAGAATTCAAAGTGAATTTCAAACTGAGGACCAAATTAACTTTTTTGCTTTCCTGCAATTCCCCTGTGAAGCACTGTACAGGCGATAGTCAAAAAATTAGAATATCGTGCAAAAGTTAATTTAGTTCAGTAATGCAACTTAAAAGGGGAAATTAATATATGAGATAGACGCATTACATGCAAAGCAAGATAGTTCAAGCCGTGATTTGTCATAAGTGCGATGATTTACCAGGAAAGGTTAAAGGATCTTAACATGTATAGCTTGGAGGAAAGACGAGACAGGGGGGATATGATAGAAACATTTAAATATATAAAGGGAATCAACACAGTAAAGGAGGAGACTATATTTAAAAGAAGAAAAACTACCACAACAAGAGGACATAGTCTTAAATTAGAGGGACAAAGGTTTAAAAATAATATCAGGAAGTATTACTTTACTGAGAGGGTAGTGGATGCATGGAATAGCCTTCCAGCTGAAGTGGTAGAGGTTAACACAGTAAAAGGAGTTTAAGCATGCGTGGGATAGGCATAAGGCTATCCTAACTATAAGATAAGACTAGGGACTAATGAAAGTATTTAGAAAATTGGGCAGACTAGATGGGCCGAATGGTTCTTATCTGCCGTCACATTCTATGTTTCTATGCTTATGGTTTACAGCTCATGAAAACCCCAAATCCACAATCTCAGTAAATTAGAATATTACATGCAATCAATAAAACAAGGAGTGTACATAGAACAATATCGGACCCCTGAAAAGTATAAGCATGCATATGGACTCAGTACTTGGTTTGGGCCCCTTTTGCAGCAATTACTGCCTCAATGCGGTGTGGCATGGAAGCTATCATCCTGTGGCACTGCTGAGGTGTTATGGAAGACCAGGATGCTTCAATAGCGGTCTCCAGCTCTTCTGCATTGTTCGGTCTCGTGTCTCTCATCTTTCTCTTGGCAATGCCCCATAGATTCCCTATGGGGTTCAGGTCAGGCGAGTTTGCTGGCCAATCAAGCACAGTAATCCAACGGTCATTGAACCAGGCTTTGGTGCTTTTGGCAGTGTGGGCAGGTGCCAAGTCCTGCTGGAAAATGAAGTCAGCATCTCCATAAAGCTTGTCTGCGGAAGGAAGCATGAAGTGCTCCAAAATCTCCTGGTAGATGGCTGCGTTGACCCTGGACTTAATGAAGCACAGTGGACCAACACCAGCAGATGACATGGCTCCCTAAATCAACACAGACAGTGGAAACTTCACACTGGACTTCAAGCATCTTGCAGTGTGTGCCTCTCCATTCTTCCTCCAGACTCTGGGTCCTTGGTTTTCAAATGAGATGCAAAAGTTGCTCTCATCAGAAAAGATTACTTTGGACCACTGAGCAACAGACCAGGTCTGTTTTTCTTTAGCCCAGATAACACGCTTCTGACGTTGTTTGTTGTTCAGGAGCGGCTTGACAAAAGGAAAACAACATCTGAAGCCCATGTCCAGGATCCGTCTGTGTGTGGTGGCTCTTGATGCACTGACTCCAGCCTCAGTCCACTCCTTGTGAAAGTCCCCAACACTTTTGAATGGCCTTTTCCTGACAATCCTCTCCAGGCTGCGGTCATCCCTGCTGCTTGTGCACCTTTTTCTTCCACACTTTTCCCTTCCACATAACTTTCTATTAATGTGCTTTGATACAGCACTTTGGGAACATCCAACTTCCTTCGCAATTACCTTTTGAGGCTTTCCCTCCTTATGGAGGGTGTCAATGATGGTTTTCTGCACAACTGTCAGGTCAACAGTCTTCCCCATGATTGTGATTCCTACTGAACCAGACTGAGAGACCATTTAAAGGCTCAGAAACCATTTGCAGGTGTTATGGCTTACTTAGCTGATTAGAGTGGGACAGTGTGAGCCTAAAATTTTGCACCTTTTCACAATATTCTAATTTACAGAAATTTTGTAGATTTGGGGTTTTCATGAGCTGTAAGCCATAATCATCGCACTTATGACAAATCACGGCTTCACCTATCTTGCTTTGCATGTAATGCATCTATCTCATATATTAGTTTCCCCTTTTACGTTGCATTACTGAAATAAATGAACTTTTGCACAATATTCTATTTTTTTGAGTTTCACCTGTGTGTAATTCAATGGCATCTTCTGTTACTCTATAAAATACAGTAATGTATCAAATATTTTCTATGCCTCAATAAAAACCCATTTGTAAATAAATGAAATGGAAAGAGAAACAAGAGTGATTTCCAGAATTCTACCTTTAGAATTCATCTTTGAGGATAAAACATTATTCACAAACAATCTATGGGCTCCGCCGTCTCCTATGAGCATTTTATGTTTGCCATTGCCATCTGATTTAGCCACTTTTTTATTATTCTGGCTGATAGCATGTTTTGGGCCTCAATTTATTATTGTGGGACACCTTTCCATTGATTACATTTTTCTTTTGTTTTTAACGCTTTTATTACATTTTAAAGCATAGGGATTTAAAATCATGGTGAAAATAAAGCAATAATTTAATATTTTTTGATACTTTTAAAATGATTTTTAAAATCTAAAAAAGTATGTAATATTTAGACAAATCATCAAATTACAAATATCACAAAATAAACAAATTCTAAATATGTCACATAATATAAAAATATTCATTCTAATATATCCTCTTAAATGTAAATTTAAAAATATTAATTTGGAAAACCTTTATCCTTTATTATTAAATTGAGACATTCATAAGAAAGTTATCTAAACAGCTATGTACCTTCACTCTGGATCAAACAAATGGAACTCATTGGATGTCGCTGCTGATTCTGGGTGATAACCTAGTTATTTTGTATTGATGTTTTTTCAGGTTTTACAAGCTGCATGAGCGAAAATGTGAACCCATTGTTATGACTGTACCTCGAAAGGTATGGATCAATGCTTGCCATCTCTCTTGACCCAAATAAAATGGCTCTGAGTATGTCATAGCTGCCTTGTACTTACAACACATACAGTTGTTTGTACTCCTGTCAGCCAACGAGAATATTCAGAACTTTGTTGCTGTTGTCCCCTCAATCTTCAATCCTAGTGCTATCTTGTACTCAGTCACTGTTCTCGCCTGTCTGCATCTGTTGTAAAATGCCTTGTTTCAGCCCTCTTATAGCTGTAGAATATCCGTTTTCTGCTTTGGTTTATTTGTATTTATTTTAATTTTAATTTCTTGATCAATTTGGCATTGAATATTTTAATGTATCTTTTGTTTGTTGTTCGTTCCACAGTCAGACCTCTTCCAGGATGATCTATATCCAGATACACCTGGGCTTGAGCCAGCCATCGAAGCTGAAGAGTGGTTTTCTGGACAGAATGCTGACCCTTTGCTGGTGTCCCTAAGAGACGGCTATGTTCCTGCAAAGAACAGGGAGTTTAAGGTCACCAAGAAAAACATTCTGGACAATAAACCACCAACTGGGCCACGACGCAGCTTCTCCTCCTGTGATTCAGGCTTCTCAGTGAGTTTGTATTACAACATCTCATACCATGACCTATAGCAAATAGACATAATAAAATGAGGACAGTTGCATCTAGCTATGTAAGACAGTCAGGTAGAGACCATAATCCTTAGATCCCCCAATTTCAGCAATTTATCACAATTTTCTGTCCAATATGTGACAGGTTATTCAGTCATACGAATTTTCCAACCTGGAAAGCGTTCACCAAGTACACAAGAAATCAAATTAATATTATTATTATTTTTTCTTTTTTAACCCCTTAAGGACACATGACATGTGTGACATGTGTGACATGTCATGATTCCCTTTTATTCCAGAAGTTTGGTCCTTAAGGGGTTAAAGGAAGTCTCTAAGCACCTTAAATACTACAGAGCACTCAAGTTTTGATTTGCTAATGGTTTAACAGCTTACCTGTGGACTCCCAGGTGAAGGTCACCTTGTCTAAAACAAAAGGAGCTATTGATTGGCTGACACTAATGAGCTAGGTTAATCTCAGAAAAGGAAAGTGACCGGTAGCAAACAGATTGACTATTTATATTGAGCGGGTTGCCAGGGCACTCCTGGTACCGTAACCACTGCAGTGCAGTGATTATTTTTTTTTAAATGTTCTGTTATTTTTAGAATTTGCAATAAATACAGTAAGCAGGATGTCAGAGCCAGTATTGCCTCTGCTCAATAATCTGTCTGTAAAGGCAATACACAAACGTGAGCTCAACCCAGTAAACAGAATCAAGTGGCATTTCCTCCCCCCCCCCATTATCAAAATGTGGCATCTGCAGTAGTATCTATGTACAGATATATAATCTGTCTTAGTTAGCTAGAATGTAGTTCTCTGGCTGTGGATTGCTGGCATATCTTGCCATGGTATAGGCTCCTAGTTTCTTTAACCCCTTAAGGACACATAACATGTGTGACATGTCATGATTCCCTTTTATTCCAGAAGTTTGGTCCTTAAGGGGTTAAAAGAGTTCAATTTAGGTAGTGAAGTAAATAAAATTTTGTTTTAACTCTGGGATCAATGATGCAGATCGTTATTGCTCACTTACAATATGCTTAACCAACTTTAAAGTATTTAGACCGTTTTTACTTGTCTCTCAATCATATTATGTTATAATAACTGCACTATTCTATTGTACTTTTCTTCTATTCTATTTATACGCTTGGTATATCATGTGCAACCTTTACTTGTGCTAAATTTAAATTAATGAACTACTTCTCTCCATTAGCGGATCACGCTGGAAGACCTTATGGAAGAAATCAAAAGTTTGAGGGCGATTGTCGAGTCTCAAGACAAACGGATCTCGAATCTAGAAAACCAACTGCATGCACTTTCCAATGGCACAGCCTGAGCCCAAATGTGTGAAATAACACAGTTACCCAGAATGCACTACAAGACCCACACATCTTTCCTTCCCAACAAGAAAATCTTGGTTACGTTTGGCCAGAGGGGCTGGAGCCAGTACGAGGACTCCAAAAAAAAAAAATGTCCCCATCCTACACCCCTTCATTATAAAAGGCATCTGCAGACACCATGTGCCAGGAAAAGGGTTATGTGTCAGCCAGAGGGATTGGGGGGAAGAGGGGGGGCAAAAGACATTTTTAAGCACTAATAGACTATTCCAGCGACATACATATATGCAGAGATCCAACGGGGTGCTTTGCATGATGAGTGATATGGTGGTAACAAAGCTACTGTGTATATCATACATGCTCCTATGGAGAGAGTATATTGGGACATGGTACTTCCCATGTAAAAGAAGCACACTTCATTCTCTCTCCTTCATTGCTGTTCTATTCGTGGGGCTTTCATATATGGTAAGATTGCCAATGCTAGAAATTAACAATAGGATTTTAAGATAATTTGGTCTACAAAATGGCAAACTTCCTTCAAAAGATGCACAGCTTAAGCTTTATACATTTGTTGAAAACTCAAGTGTTTGGGTCTCTCACACAATATAACATTTACATATATATAATATATTCATACAGTATTAGAAATGTATTTGTATATTATACAGTTATATAAAATGAACTCCAAAATAATAATAACAAATAGGTTTTAAATTATTCCCGGTGTATTAGTGTTGTTTTTATTTTTTTGTTTTTTTAAATAGGTGCCTTTGATTTGTTAAGATGTTTAAGATTGTGTTAGAGGCTGACATGTATTGAAATTCCCTGCTGATCCCTCGAGGTTTTTACCAAATGCTGTCTGGGTACCATGATCTGTCATGTGTTTTGAATGTATCTGACAACTTTATTATATTAACATCCGTTGCGATTTCTTTTTTTTCAATTGACTGACAAAAGTTTGTATTTAATCATTGCTCTTTCTTTACCCAAGTCCCTTTATGGGTCTCATTTTGTATTCTCACATTATCATATAAAGAATTCTAGTCCCATAAAAATCTAGAAATTCTTTTAGTCAAATAACTCGTAAAACAGGGCTTGCAGTGATAATCATATAGGCTGCCCTAGTGTTAATCATGCATTTTAAATTATTGCAAAAAAAAAATCTGTTATTTAAAATTATTGTGACACTCTTTGATTTGTCGTGTACTGTAAAATAGCCTTTTTCTTTCTTTTTTTTTTTTTAAACCGGCTTCAATGAAATAGAAATATGCTGCATTTTCCGTTGTGCCAAATCAAATGAAATACAAAAAATAATATATATTATCTTTGTGAATCCTTGTGACATTCTTTGATTGTGGTTCCTACATCAAGATTATTTTCTTTCTCTTTTTTTCATTTTCTTGATTTTGACATTTCACATTCTGATCCGATGCTCTACATTCTTGAATAAACTTGTTGAGTTTTGTTGTTCTGAAGAAAAAGAGGGAAAATGACATTATTGCCCATCTCATTCACTTAGTGGAAACCTGTCTGATTTTTATGTTGGATGTACTGCTTACATCAGGGGTGTCCAAACATTTTTCAAAGAGGGCCAGATTTGATGAAGTGAACATGCGTGACTGCCGACCATTTTGCCTGACATTCTTTGAACCATTAAAATTAAATGCAAATGAACTATTTTAAGCAAAATGTATTGCAAGCGGCATACTTTTCATTTCATCTCTGTAGAATATTGCATATTCTATGTTTCTATTGATTATATATGGATGTGTGGATTGACATAAGTAACAGATGGTCTAAGTCACATGGCTTTCTTTGTCTGAGAGGTCTGGAATGTGGATTTGGGGGTCTTGTCCTTATGTGGCTAGAGTTAAACTCTGACGTCAGTATGGGCACTTCTATATAGTAACTGAACACGAGGTCTCTTGGCTCTTGGCTCTCTTTCCTGTACAACGATGTAACTCTCCCTTCAGGAGTCCAGCAATTACCATCTGCTGTTGAATGTCCATTATCTTGTAACATCCTTTGTTGTTTTATTATGTATCAGTAACTAAGAATAAACCTGAAGAAACCGTAAGTCAGATTGCGTATTAGTACTTTTCATTAATATAGACATTGACTGCATGTCCGTCTGCGTTCTCGCGATCTTTTGGACCCAGTGAATCCCTGTGTGCCTCTCAGAACCGCTGCGTTCAAAGATCCAGGGATCCTGAGCAGCGCTCGGGGGTTCACTGAGGGCCATAACAGATAGGATTAGACAAATAACCTGTGGAGCCATATTAAACCAGAACGCGGGCCGCAATTGGGATGGACTTTGGACATGACTGGCTTACATGATAAAATAGGAGTGAGGTAAGAATTAATATTAAATAACATTTTATTTCTCTATGGCAGCTTCAGTTTTGGGGATAGTTCTACCCCAGCTGACAAAGACAGGAATACAAACTGGTGAACTGATTGACTAGTAACATAAAAGTCCCAACCTCGTCCATACCCACAGTCATATTTCAAAGCTCGCACAACCTAGAAAAATGTGAACGGCTAAATATAGCTATGAATAACCGCCAGGAACAGAAAATTACAGTAATTCTAAAATGACCTTTCAATCCATGGCAGCATCAATTTTAAGTAGTAAACAAACAAAAGGTAATGGAAATAATTCAAAACAAACAACAATCAATGCTGCAAAACTACCAACAAATTTGTTGATGAGAAGAGTGGGCAAACAGAACCCTTCTAACAAAGTTTGTATCAGTAGGAGATATTGAGTGCAATTTATAGTGTATGATGAATGCCCATCATATGTCTTCTGGAAAAACCTAAGATGTGCATAATACCCTTGTTGTGTGTTGTTTGGGTTAGGAGGTGTACATAGTCTTTGCATGCCACGGCTATGACCTATAATGCTGGTTCTCGTTGTTTAAGAACCTGATAGGAGATCAAAGAGTCTGGAGGATTTGCAAAAACCTTCCAGACTCTAAATAGTGTAAAAGCCATTCTCTAATATCCAACTTGTGACACTGGATTCTTCTGGTGGAGGTGGTTTAGGAACGAATGATGGCAGCAGCACTTCTTGTTTGTTTTTTTTTTGTTTTTTAAATTCTTTATTTTTGCTGTGCATATATTAACATACATGCCTGCAGTACCACAACAGCTTTAGCAAGCTTAATAAAATAGGCATAACATTTGAGAAAACTGCACATTTTTATTTTTTTAGGGATCAAGAGTAATACATTTGTGTGTATGACAGTGTAGAAGCATATACTGTTTTCTATCAGGAGCAATTTCAAGTAAGTGAATACAAGCTGTCCTAAAAGGTATCAGCTATAGATTGCATTTCTAAGACAGTTGCAGGTTGTGTCTAAATGCCTAAAACACTGTAGAAAGGTAACCACTGGGCACAAACCATTAATAAAAATAACTAAAAGTAACTAAACATGAATGCTCATCTCTGTAATGTATACTGGTAGGATGCCAGAATTGTGAGATGCCAAGGCCAGCATTGTTCATCCCACTCCACACTCTGGCCATGAGAGAGAGTCCATGATGCTGTCAGCATTATTCCCCCCAAACCCTGTCAGCAGACAGTGTGGGCTTTATGGGGTGTGCTGCTTCAGCTTCACATAGTCTTGACCCCAGACTTTAGTGGGAGCCATTGCCCAGTGTCCGCAGGTCTCACTAGAGTGTATGTCACGGTCACAGGCCCTCAGGGTGTCCATGTTCTGGGCTTCCCTCTGAGATGTCAGATGCCGGTCTGTAGGTGACTCCAATGGATACTTCAGCCCTGGTGCTACACAAGTGTCACAAGCTGCTTCTTGAAACGGCTGTACGTCAGGAGTGGTAAGGTCGCTAGATCGGCTGGCGGGTCGATGCCAGAGCTTCTGGCAGATAGCGTTGAATTTTGCATTAAATGCTTCCAGTTTTTGTGCCCTGTACGCCCTCGGCATTGCAGAGGTTCCAGCTTGGCGGCCATCTTGGTCGTGCCACGCTGCTTTTAAGGCGCCAGGGAAGAAGACATTTATTGATGACCCAGTTGGGGAGCAGAATAACCCCTACCAGTCCAAAAGGGAGGGGGGGTGGATGACGCGGCTGCAAGAGGTGGGCTTTGAGGTGCGTGTGTGGCTTCGGGAGATCAGCTGCTTCTCCCTCCTGCCAACACTGCGGTCCCAGTAGGCCTCGAAATAGGTTGCTGCTCAGCTGCGTGGCCTTTTCCGGACGTATTAAGCTTCATAAGTTGTTGGTGGTTGTTTTCTTGTGGTTTTGGACCTCTAGGAGCGTATTTAACAGTTCTAATGCATTTTTAGTTTGATTTGTCGGGAGCTCCAGAGTAACACGTCCAGCCGTGTTGGACGTCAGGTCCCGCCCCCCGCAGCAGCACTTCTTGTTAAATATGGAATTTCATAAGTACTTGTGATAAGACTGTAGATACTGGTTTAATAATGATTTGAGTCTGTGGTTCTTTTTAGTAGAAAGCCTTCACATCCAACACCTGGTTTGCTAATGTAAGGGCAATTAAAATCTGCTAGTTGTTAGATTTCTGAAGATATTCATAAGAAATTGACCTCCAATACGTCACTACGGAATAGCCTAGAGAGTTCGATGCACTGCTAGATCCTCCATTCACTGTTCTTAAGGAAGTTCACTTAATACTTCTTACTGTTAACTTTTTTTGCCCACGAAACAATGCAGAAAGTTCAGAAGTTTAATAAATGCAAACCGTTCTGTTGGCTACCTTGTAAAATTCTGGGATATCAAGTGATGAAAGGTCCAGAACAGCAACTACTTTGGACATAGCCCAAGCCTCTCCTGTAAGTAATGGTAGGGAGAGGGGGAGGTTATATCCTTCATTTAGAACTGCCTGGTTGCGCATGGTGGTTGATGTATGGAGCCACTGCCGTACCATTTAGGACCTTGATGACACCTCTCATTTTGCAAAGATTGCTTTGAAAATTCCTATCTTTTGTAGACAGCCAAAGACGATGTCAGTAAACAAGGATAA